ACGCTCTCGCACCTGCGGGCGATTATTTCCTAATACGCGCGCAGACCACAGCCAACGCTAACGCGGTGCACAGCGGTACACCCACACCTGCGAGCGGCTCCGCGTCCACTCTCGCAGTGCGTTTTCCCACGCAGTCGCTCCGCTCACAAATCACAGACACCACACCGATGCTCTGTGCTAACTTTTATTCGCGGCGCAAATACGCACTCCCTGGGGGAATATTGTGCGAGAAGAGCTTAGCCTCCTGCTGCCTAAGTGCCCAGTCACTCACACGTCCTACCACGTACCTCGAAGCTGTACTCACGGCGTCGCACGGACTCTGTGAGAGTCGGAGAAAGAAGGACGAGAGAAAACTTCACCTATCACTGCCTCGTAGCAGCACTCGCTGGCATCACACGAATGCTGCGAGCGGCTCGAGGAGGCAGAACGGCAGGGAGTGGGTCTTGGCGGCCCAGAGGTTGAAGACAAGGGAGCGTGAATTGTCCCAGGCTCCCCTTTTTACCCCCCTCACTTCAAACGCCCGGGGCCATGCCGCACCGCGCGGCCAATAGTGCGCCTATCTGCGACCACCGCCCGCCTCCCTTCCCTTGCATGGAGAGCTGTCCCGGTGGCCCCTGCTACCCTGTCCGTCCAGCCGTATTCCTTCTTTTGTGATGCACCCTGGGTAATCTGGACGGCCGCCCGGCTGGCGAATCGCACACTTGTGAGTGTGTATTCGGTATGGGGGTCATGGCGCTGCGATCCCCCGATTTTGTTGTATGACTCATTGCGGCTGGCCCGGTGAACCTTTTTACGCCCATACAATTTTAAGTCAACTCAGGGGCACCGCACTGTGATCTGTCCTGCGAAGGTCGGCCAATCTCCTGGCACCGGGAAACCGTGGGACTTTCCTCCTAGGGACCCTTCGGATGAAAACCCGTTGCGCCAGGTGATCCCCCACCAGGACACCACGTGTGTGCGCTGCGTGTGTGTGTGCAGGGTGGGGGCCAGGGGGGAGTCGTGGCGCTTGCAGAGTTGCTCCGAGGCCGTGGCACCACAATACACATTCTGTCCATGGCTAAATGTAAACGATTCGAAGATTTGAAGAAGAAGAAAAAAGGGCCCGAAATTGTTCTTAAAAATCTGATAATCTGAAGTCCAAAATCCATCCCAGGTGTCCAATTCCAGCTTGCAATCAGAAAGTGGCAAGTTCGAATCCCAATTTGAAAGGATGGCTCCGGTCATCGCTCTGGGAACACAATACAAATGAGTCCCAGGTTGTGTACAGTCACCTGTGGTTGTCCTATGGGTTAACTTCCCCCATAGGAATGTGGAATTTCCTCCACTGCTTAAGGACTACAAACAGGAGATGAGCACTGCCCTACGCTAAATTGCGCAGGAGACAACCGACCAGGTTTTATGTTAACGTATGTTTCAACGTGGCATAATTGTTTCAAGTGCATTATGTTTACCGGTCACAAATTGCTAATGAGCAGTGTGTGCACGGGACGAGTTAAACGTGAAACGATTCCAAGATTTAAAGAGTTGACGCTAATAGGTGTCCCATTGGCATGCTGAGTGTAATAAGATTGGTAGGGCAATAATGAAGGCTGCTCTAAAGATAACGTAGATTGGGCTTCTTCGCCGAGGAGGCTGATAAAGTCCAATTCCAGCCTCCGTCAATTTCACCTGGTTCCTGTGACCCAGGCAGCGGACTCACCTTAGGGTCAACTCAGCCTGAAATGGGCACTGGGTGCCCTATATGACGTGCTTCAAAGGGAACGTGTCGTTGGATCTGTGAAGAAGGCCACACCAGCTGTAATGGATGCTGCACAACACCTGGAGGTGAATTTCTCAGCATTGATGAGCAATTGCACATACGATAAAGTGCCGGGGCCCTGTATTATTAACCGATTTATGCTGGTGTTCAGGGACAGGTAAACCTCTGGTGTAATCAGAGCGCACTGAACTGGCAATCCAGAGGTCGACAATCCGATTGAGTCTCTTGACACCGCAGTTGAAATAATGGTACGCGTTTATTAAATCCAACCCCCCCAGTCGAATGGCAAGACTCACGTAATGGGGTAAAGTGTGGGTACTCTCACCTCCAACGCATCTGATCGGCTTGGAAGAATATTTCTAATACCCTCTCTAGAGCGACTATCTAGGGCTGCCTCGAGTCGAGGCCCTTCTGTCAGCAGTGGTGCAAGCAAGCAAATGCAGGGCTGCACCTTCACCTTTTTTACTCGTAACTTTGAACACACAGTTAAACAAGGTACTTGCTGCACTGCCTACTGTAGGCATCTGACTAATCATGCAGATGGGTCTCACATGACTTCGGCATCATCCATCTACTTTGTCTCCAAGCATCTGGAGGCGCGTGCCACCATATCTCATTCTCTTCCTTATCTCACTTCTGTCGCTACTGCCCATGGGTGCAGTCTCTGTGTTCTTGGCTCATTGATTCCTCCACCTGTGGTGATGACTCGCTGAACCAGAATGACCGTTTTGTCTCGCCCATATCGTGTTCACCTACCACGCTGCAGGTCACAACAACACACATTCATTCAGACATTTACGAACCAAAAGCACCGCAGGTCACCTCACTCCTCTTTTCGATTCTTCCCTCGCGCGGCTCCACTGTGGAATTCCCTCCCACCGTCGTCTTCCCCAAAGTTCTTGTACGAACGTTGCTCAATTGCAAGAAACGTGCCCCATCTGTTACAACTTTAAAAGTGCTGCTCATTGCTGGCTGCTCGGCGTTTTGGGCCTTTTGGGCCCTGTGCTCAGCAACTAGAATAAAAAAAAAACAAGACGAAACTTTATCTCGCTGAAAGGATGGCCGGAGTGCAAATTTATTGTTGCAAAGTGACAGCTGTAATCACTAGAATTAGGTGTGTACTTTGGCAAAGCCCTGATTACACTCCATTTGAGCGGTAATGCAAGGTGGTTAACAGTACGTGACAAATGAAGAGAAATGTATGTCGCCGGAGGTGAGTTTTCATACACTAGTGCTGATGTCTGCCGCAAATTAGTCGTATAACCTGCAGCCAGCACTTTAACTTGAAGGCGAGAGGGGAATTGTGGAAATGTGCCTAAAAGCACAATGATGCACAGTCAATTAGGTTAAATTCCATCACACGGTGCCAATGATTGGGAAATTGACTGTCACTTACGGTAAAAACCAGCCTTGTTCATAATTTGGCAATTATCCACACGGACAAAAAAATTGCATTTCGTAATTAAATATGCACTGTGTATGAATATGAATGTGTGGACCAGACGCACAAAAAAGCAAGGTACCTTTGATGGATGTAAAACAAAATACCGAAGCAATTAAATTATAATTGGTTACACAAGCAAAATGTTCAAAAGTTAGCTTTCGGTAAAGTGAATTTTGCTGGCAATGTTCACCGCCCTCTCTCCTCACAATTAGAGCCCTGACCACCACCACCACCAGCAGCGGCGTGGCCCCAACCTCACCCATCCCTTCTCTGCTGTACTCGGGGTTTTCTCAACGTAACACAACCACAGGGCGCCAGTGCCTCAAGAATTCTGGTCGGCTGAAACACTTCAGGAGGATGCTGCTATTTTCGTCTTCAAAAAAAATACTTGTATCATTTGGAAATCAAGCTGCTTGTTTATTTTTTCGTATTTACTGGGTTGCGTATTTTGGCCACCTCACATTAATACAACTCTTAAAAATCTAGATTTACTTTTTTGTCATTTACCCTCCCCCTCACACCCCCTCAGTGTTATCCCAATCGTGCTCTTGGCTTTATTTCACGAGAATAAAGGGCCGTCCATAAATGACGTCACGCGATTTTGGACAATTTCTGACCCCCCCCTATCCCCTCGTCACACATCGTCACAAATGTCTGACCCCCCCCCCCCAGGTGCGTGACGTCATTTATGGACGGCCCCTAAGTATTATTGGGGATCTCCCGCAATGTGCAACCTTTCACGTTGCAAAATGGCCCAAGCGAGTGGATATCCGAGATCCCCTTCAAGTGACCTCATGTGCCACACACAGTTCACAGTAGAACGGCAGCGCTCGCTCTGCATATGAGAGTAATGTTCATTGTATGACGGTAACATCGATATTTAATTATAAGAGCTAGAATTTAGCCAAATTTGTGCAGAACCAAGTTTAACGTGATCGTGTTTTTTGTGCAGTCACTTCACTGCACTTCAGAGTGGTGCAAATCCCAGTTCTCTGGTCTTCGAGTTATCCTTTCCATCTCCCATCATCCACAACTCTTAAATTCAACTCGTGGCAGGCCTGTAACAATGCACAGCTATTCACGTTATGAGAAGCGGCACGCTTATCGTCTCACATTTGTAGCAGGTATGTGTGTATCGTTTATTCAATCAAGCGAATTCTGTCGGCTAATTAAACTATGATGAATAATGCAAATGTAGGTCTGTTGAACTTCTTTCGCACCGTACGTAGACAAACGTGCTAATCGGGCGGTGCCGGGGAATGACGACATTTTATTAACACAATGTATATCGATTCCCACATTTAAATTCTATACACTAGCTCAAAAGACCTCATGTCTTCTGGGTCATCCTGTGGATAGATTGGTTACTTCCAAATTAATGTGAAATTTCCACCAGGACTCAAAGCTGCCCCACACTTGCTTTAACTTCCAGCCAATTTGATTTAGGCTTTGTTTAATGTTTTAATAACCATGCTTTAAACCCCAAAAAAAGAACCTCCACATATTTTGCATTGTTTTCAAATTTCTAACCACGGCTTAATTTCAGCCAGATCTGTCCCTGGGCTGAGTTCCAGAAAAGTCTCCCCCCCACCTCACCTCCTCCCAACAGTGGCATCCACGGGATTGGTGGGGATGGGGGGCAGAAAATATTCGTAGAGAAACGATGCCCTGCTCGCAACCACAGATTCCGCTCGTCGTTACAGGACGCAGGCACACTTTGGAGGTTTGGCAGTAATTAGTAAAATAAATTAATCAAGATTACAAATTAAAAAAGCACACACAGGAAGGAAACAGACATTTCTTAATCGTGGCATTTATTTTTTCTTTAAACCACATGACTTTGTAGGCTTGTAAATCCAACTTTCATTATTATAATTTTTTTTATTCCATTACATTTTCAATCATTTCAACTTCGCAAAGCCACTTTTTGTGGGAAGAAGGTGGTATCAACATTCAAAGGTGTACACTTGATCATGTCATCCACGATATAGGAAATCGCAAGAAATGCATTCATTGCCAAAAACTAAAAACCAGTGAACACATTCTCCCAACAAAATAAAGGCTCCGGATTTTCAGGTGTCACTTTATTTTAAAAAAATCAGGAGTAAACACGTTTGGCTATTCACTCTGCACGGTGAATATTGCAAGCAAAATATTATCAGAAAGTATGCAGTGTGTGTGTGTGTATATATATATGTTTACACCCCAACTTGTACTTTGAAAGTTGATTCGCTTGGTTTTTGTTCCCATGTGCCACCATAAGAAGCCGATAAAGTTTTCCGGAAAAAACTAAAACCATTTGCTCATACCTCGGTCAAAAGGCAGCCATGTGACTGACAGTGATGATGAATGACGTGAGAGACTCATTACCATATTAACGCGGGGCCTCGCACCCAATTTTGGCCCGAAAGCAATTCCACTGTTCACTCGTCGGCAACTCTCTTCCGACCGAAGATTCAGAATCGCGTCCGATTCTTCGCGATGACAAAAGCCGAGACTTAATTATGGGGGGCAAGCGCACGGAATAACGTTTTCGGAGGGCAATGTACAGCGATTATCTGTCGGCGTCAAGCGATAAGCCAGTGTAATCCTGAAAATGAGATGCGCCCCACACTGGATATGCACACATGCCACAAGCCAATTTTTATACGAAAAAAAAATCTTTCTTTGAAACTTGTTTGAGTTTCATTTTTCACCATCTTGTAATCCCCCCACCACCTGTGCGTGGCGGTTTGGGAGGTTGCACGTTTTTTTTTCGTTCTATTTTCCTTATGCGTAGTATTATCAATGCAGACCTCTGTGAAAGCCTGTCATTGTATCCTTTACCAGCTTGCTATCTCCACCGCAGGAGTTGGGGGGGACGATGCTCACGTCTGCTTAAAATTAACCAGGTTCGCCTTCCCTTCGCTACCTTACAAAAACACCTACGGTAATTCACCCCGACTAAGATTCAAATTTCAACAGTTCATGACTAACGCGGTGTGCTGCTTCGTAGTGACGACTCCTTCTGCTGCTGCTGCTGCTGCGGATATGTGCGCTCGCAAGCAGGAAATCCACTTTTCATTCATTTATTCACCCATTATGTTTTGTATGTCCTCTCCAACGCCTCCAGCGCTCTCATCGTATATTTATGTAAAAATAAGTAACGGCAGGAAAAAGAATCAATGACAAAAAACAAATACAATGAGAACATATTTATACTTCCCCTTCATCGCTCTTCCAAGCTAACATTGTTTTTTTTTTAAACACATACATTAAAAAAACCCGAGTTGATTAAAGGCTGATATGGAACGCAGCACCACTTTGTGACTTTAAACATCATGGTCAGGAGACCTCATGCTAAGCCACTCACTAGACATAGTGATGCAGACTTGTGGCTCCGTTCCAGCCGATGATGAAGAAGGCATTGCCGTTCTAATTTGGCGTTATATAAATACGAAGGAACGTCCCTCAGGCTCGAGAGTGATTGAAGTTTAGCAACGGCTCAGTGTTTGAAGTGGCCATCTAAAATTAATTTCCTCCAGGCTACCCATTTTGGACTAACGGCAAAATAAAATCGGATTTTTTCCCCCTCGACCAACCTGACTTGCAGCTATGTTCAATAATTTACAAGCCCATGCAAGATTGGTTATGTTGCAGAGCTGAATTCGTTTACATTTTTGCGTCGAACGCACATTATGAACGAGACAGCAACTTTTCGTTGTCTTGGCAATGTCAAAAAATGCCCCCAAAACTCGTTTTGATCAAAGCGAGTGGCCTTACATTCGGTCTCCCAAAAACGAAGCATCAAGCCACTTTCTGAGAGAGTGGGGTTCGTGTTCCCCACAGCGCGTGGATGCTGTCTCAACCCGGCAAGGAGAATCACACATCGCACTCGGCTGCGTCAGATGTGCCCACATATGCCTACGCTCAAGTGATGGTGTGCGCCAACGTGCTTATGCCACGCACACCCCTCCCCTGCTCTGTGCTCGTAGAGACACAATGCTCCATTGAGGGACGGTGGTAGCTATTCCATACTGGACTTTGTCGCCTGTCCCCAAACCGAGCAGAAATAATACCCGGACGCTAAAGTGTGCACGGACTCGCCCGTGTGAGAGACTTGCAACAGCGACAACTTTCCACGCAACGCAAATGTAACGGAGCTTCAACGCAAAACAAAAAAAAAACTCTTTAATCGGAAAAGCTTTTGTGTTCAACGCATTCATACAAAAAAAGCATAGCAAATTTCAGCTCGGTTAGTGCTTTGGCCTTGCTTTAACAAATGCCACTTTAAACTCCCCACACGCGTCTAATGCAGCAGCCTCATATGCAATTCTCTGATACGCATCATCCACAAGCGCTCAACTCCCACTATGGCCCGCTTCGTGGGGCATGAGCATTTCATCATAACGGGTCACCACCCGGGGGGCTCGGCTCCGAAACTCGTTGCTGCGATGCTATAAACGGAACTCTCTAAATGATATTCCCGCGAGCACTTTGCCCGTCAGGTGAGCGTAGGCACCGGAGCGTGCCGTCCCTTTGCTCCGGAGTGTAAAATCGTGGGTTCTATCTCAGGCGAGGGGAGAGAGGAGGGGAGAGGGGGGGTGGGGGGCCGCGGTGCCGGCCAACGCGGTTAATCTGACCCGCTGGGCTGCGACACCGAACAAGCCTTTCAAATAAAGAGCACAGCGCGAGAAGTTACATTTACGAAAGCACCACACCGATGAGAGAGCATGACTCGCGCGATGCTGAACACCTGCAGACTACGACGCCTGTGGTGGTGGGGGGACGAGAGGGGGGGACGAGAGGGGGGGACGAGGGGGGGGGGGGACGAGAGGGGGGGACGAGGGGGGGGGGCACGTACATTGGTTCTGCGAAGCAGGTGATGTGCACGTGGTGCGTTTCGTCCGCCGTTCACTCTGTGTACGTGTCTTTTGTTTTTAAATCCTTTATATTAAGTTCGCTTGCTTGATTGCTTGCGTGCTTGCTTAGGACCGTGCAAATCTTTCGGTCGTTTTTTAACCCACTTCCCGTGATCCAATCGATCTGACATTTTGCACACAGACTCGTTGTGCGTGACAATAAATTTTCGTGAAATTTTTTTCCCAAAATTTTACACTGTTTAGGGAATTTTTTTTAAATATTTAATTACCAATTGCTTAATGGTGGCAGACAATCATCTGACCCATAGGTGGCAGCCATCTCAAGCCAGAGGACGAGAGGACTCTAGCCGCCACGCATATAAAATATTTATAGTGAAAAACTTTGTTTTTACGGGTTAATTTTTTAACTACATTCGGTCTTCACCGGAGCGCAATCAAAGTACAACTCCAGCAGGCACGGAGCTCCGAACGCCACTCGGAAATTAATAATGCAAGGGTGTTGAAAACGACGTTTTGTCACTCTTTTTCGTGCAAAACACCCAACGCGTATGAGGGGTTAGCAGCCAATGGAGATTAAACGCAGATATCGATGGGACCTTTTTGTCAGTATCAATACGATGAAAAAGAGGACTAGCCGTCACCCTGGCTGTCAGATTTCACCGAATCTGGCAGGAACGAATCACTCGCAATCTGTGACTCGCATTCCTCGTTGCTGTGTAGTAGGTTTGAATGATAATTGTGTAATGCATCTAGAAAAGCCGCCAATGAGATAGGGCAACGCCCATTCCTCTTTTCATCGTAAAAACACGAGTTTGGCCGTGGAGTTGGAAGGACGTCCGTGCCTGTAAGGGCAAATCTTTTCAGACTCTGGAGTCAGAGTCCAGAATGACTTGCGATGTTCCAGAAACGTCCTTAAGTTCGGTTTCAGATACGACTTGTCGCAACTCCAAGAACGTGAGGGGGAGATGCGACTTTTTTTGGGGGGGGCAGTCGTGAAGTGAACATCGCAGCTTGCCGGACCGTATTACAAATGGCAAGAGTAAACGTCCTGCACTCCGATCTTCAGTGCAGCAGACATGGGGGGGGGGGGGAGGCGTGAAAACGGCGCAAAAGGCATGTACGATGAACGACACGCACGGGCATGCGGCACTCGGCTTTCGCGGAACCGGCCGGGTGGACAAATGTGGGTTGCGGAATCGATAAAGAGCTGTACCTGAGACCGGCACAACAGCGCGCACGCACACACGCACGCACGCACACACACGCGCACACACACGCGCGCACACGCATACACACACACACGCGCACACACACACGCACACTCTCTCACACACGCACAGACACACGCACAGATGCACAGGCACACACACACCCGCAGACACACACTCTCACAGACACACACACACACTCTAACGCACATAGACACACCACACTCTCACCCCCGCATGATTTGAAGGTAACACGTTAACTACTCGATCGAGTGATCACTCTACCCCTGATTAAGAACTCAAAACAAAAACAAAAACTGTCATGCGGCAAACATTGGCTATTTCCACCTGCGTCCAAAACGAGAAAATAAAACGATACACTTGCTTAAAACTTATAAAACGGTTAAAGCTAGCGAAGGCTTATAGATTATTCTGCTAACAGAAAATATCAGCAAGTGACCACGGCTTGGAATTTCCCATGTGAAGTACACAGCACGGTGCAAACCAACGTTTAAATATAAAATGTTCAATATATACACCTATTTATACAGATTTTGCTTCCAAATTAAAACGATTCAATAGAGGGCTAGTTTCGTGACGCACAGTCACCTGATGCGAATTGGATTTTAGGAGTTAAAAAAAAAGCCAAAACTATTCGGACGTGGAATGCAACTGGAATCTACAACACTTGGATCAATATCGTCCCTCTGGTCTACCCAGTGTAAAATTAACTTGCGATAGTCTCCTAAGGGCGCCAATGGCACCACACGACACGAACTGCGGATTTTCACCTAACCTGGCAGTAACGTATCACTCACACCTGTGACTCGCCATTCAGCGTTGCTTTGAAGCCGGTGGAATGATAACACGATGTAACACGGTTTTTGTTCCTGGGTAGTAAGTGTTATTTTCTAATTGCTTATGCCTCAAAAGTATAAACTTTGCTTTGTGACCAGGACCTTACGTGAAGGAATGAAACAAATGCACACCACGTTTTCTCATTGAAAATAGGTAAATTGCTAAATATCACTGTCCTGGTCACAAAAGCAAAGTTTGTGGGGAATAATAGCCATTTTCTGTACTTTTGAGGCATAAGAAATTATGAAATAACACAATCCAGGAATAAAAAATGTATATTTTAATTTCTCAATTATAATCGAGTCATTTATCCCGAAGAGCCCCCACTATGTTTCAAGGCTTCTCTTTTTAAGGTTCCTGAATTTGGACATTCGTCCAACACCGTAAACGGAGCATATGTCGCGTGCGTAAAATAAAACAAACGCACGCACTCAAAAGGTTCACGCGCACGTTTTCACAACCCACTTGCCTGGACTCTCATCTCCTGGCCACCTCGCCGTCCAGAATGTTTGGAAGCTTCACGAATCTACGCAACGAGCCAACCTCTGCCTCCGAAGTGCTGCCGCGCCACCGTGCCCGACTCGTGCCACCGCACGCGGCCATCAACCCACCACCCGATATGTACGGCAGACGCCATGGAGGTATCAGATGACAATACATAAATGCGTATCTCTACCCCGCTGAGCCACCCTTTGTTAGGGTTCATCTGTACAAAATCAGTTGGGCGGGCGGGTGGGGGGGGGGTGTACAAAACCTTTTAGATAACCGTATCAATTTCTTGGGAATGCCATTTATTTATTTCCTTTGCAGAGACAGCCAAAAAGAAAAGCCACCACTTGAAACGCGGCTCGCCGATTTTCTCAAAAGAATCCTCTCGGTGCGCGTGTGCACGCACGTCTGCAAGGTGCCTCCAGGCCATCAGATTTCCTGTGAGAGTGGCGTGCGGGGTTCATTGCGCGGATCACTCGAAATCGTGCTGCGGTGGTGGTGGCGGTGGCGGTGGGGGTCACTAAAGGCGTTCAATTGCGAGCAGCTTAATCTCTTCTCGAGCGTGGGTGAGGGATGCAAGTCTAATCTGGTGTGGGGGTGGAGAAGGGGGGGGGGGGGGTTCACCACCTGTGTTAAAGGCTATCGCATTTTTTTTTACTCCTCACCAATTGTCTCATTGTCACGTGGCGCAGTGTGGCCAACACAGCTTGACAAGGGAGGGATATGCCGGTTTCCTGCCTGTGCTCTCCACTCCAATTGCCTCCATTGGTCACACCTAGCATGGAGCAATTGCAATCCACTGGGGCGGTGTGATGGATTATTCCGTTACTTGCCGGATTCGTAGTACATTTAGTACAATGCCACATGACTCACGCCACCCCGTTCCATGAGGTAGCCAACTGGTGCGTAATCGTGTGCCGTGGGGCGTGGAGTGAGTGGCTTCGTTTCAAATGCCGTTACGCACAAATGTCCATTGTCTGCCGGTCTCTTTTCCCGCGTGTCCATTGGACCGCGAATTCGAGCTGGCACTCGGCTCATCCGTTTTGAACAGCACACGGCTCTCGGGAGGCAAGGTGGCTTCCATTCCATCCACAGGCTGGGTTTGTTTTCACTGGATCAGAAAGAAAATAGGTCTCCTGCGTTTGACTTTATCGCGCGTTTTTAGATGCGCTTATGCGGCCCTCTGGAACGCTCTTCCTTCCGATATTAGGAAGCCGCTGGAGCTACGCAGTTTGAAATCATCTAGATTGAAAACATAACTTTGTCAGAACTGCTTTCTGTGTTTAGTTTGTAGTCCTTCACCCCACACCTCCGATTAGCACGGTTGGATAGGTATGGTGCGAAAGAAGTTCAACGTACAAACATACAAACCCGCCAGGCGATCAAACCCACTGTGTTGCGTATTCCGCTGCGAGGAGGTGTTGATGGAATTATATTTTCATTTCAACCGTTCGCCCAGAGGGAATCTACAGCACGAAGGAGAATTTAGCCGTTCATCAGCTGTTGTACTTCCGCTATCGGCAGGGGAGAGTGCCGCGTGAATAACGGCAGCAATGCCGTTATTATTGCGGAGGTGGTGAGGTTAAAGAACGAAGAGGGCTTATGGGGCAGGTGGGTGTTTGGGATTGCGACCGCTTCATGAAAAGTGGAGATAAATTTTATTTTAGCGGCTTCTCTCGAGCATTTAGCCTGGGTCACCGCGCTGTTGCAGAGACCGTATCTCACAATCAAAGAGAGGATCCCTAGGTGAAATCCAGCTCAGGTTCAACAAAGTTCATCGTCCCAAAGTAGCTGATTAAAATAAAGGGTGGAAGTTCCACCACCGGCTGGGGACCACAAATGGAAAATGAGCGGCGGTCCGCACTCGTTATGGGGCCACAAAATGTGTTCATATACCGATAGGAAATTTGCCTCTGTGAGTCACGACCAAGGGCAATTGACTTTAAAGCACTGGAGCTTGTGAGAGATTTTAACTGCACCTACAAGGTGTGGTGACTTACTGCCAGGTTAGCCCGACTCCAACCCTACATCACCTGATCTCTTAAAGAGCCACATAACCAGCACGATTGCATGTACACTTTCACCAGCAAGCAGTACTTGTTGTATTATTACAGTAGCGCACCGATACATAAACTCATTAAAAAAATGAAAAACATCCCTTCACCAAGCGACGCATCCGTTAAGAACCCCAAACTCTATCGTGTACTTACGTTGCTAAAACTTTTAAACAGACACCCCCCCCCCCAACGGTATTCGCACAAAACACAATTGCTTTGGTAGCAATCTTGATTAACATGGTAGTTTTCTACACAACTTATAATACAGAAAAAAAAACATCGACAATTTTTTTTTATATTAAGCTTCAAAAAAATTATTCTAAGTTTTTTTTGTCATTTTCGTTTTTTTTTCTTTTTTTTCACGGGTCAGGATGGGTTGGGGAGAGGTAAAAGTTAAGGTGTGTTCATCCGTGATCTGTGAAGTGAACAGAGAAAGAAAAAAATAGTTAAATATTATTGAGACACTGCCATCGTTTCACGATACAATTAGTGTGCTAATACGCCCTTAGCCTCTGCACGTTCAGATGCCAAGTTTTACCTCGGCAAGAGAAGTCTTGTTCCTTTAATTAGCGATGAATTCCGCAAAACTTTTGCCGTTTAATTTCTGTTATGATCTCCCAAAAAAAACTTCAAAAGCAGTACACGTGTGCCAAGAATCATAGCTGTATTAAAGTCTCATTTTAATAGCACACGCTTAACAGAAACACGTACGGCGGCTCGTACAAAACGCGATTATGGAAGTTGCTTTCAACTAATCTAGCAATCCCAGATTGTCCACAAGTGCTTGAATAGATATTACGCGTTTAACAAGCAATACAATTGGCGATTATTGTAGCAATAAAGGCTACGGTGATTCTTTTTTGATGTCTTTGAATAAAGCTTTTTATGGCCGAGCGTGTGGAATTCATGCTTGAAAATAAAGCGAAGCCGTTACAATCCAATTCCGAATCTCTTTGTCCAAAGTTAAAAGGCGCCAACCCTGCAATTTACTTGATCACAGACTCTACTCAAGTGAGCTCCAAGCTAGCCACTCACCACGGGTATTTATTCAACTATTCCATGCCAGTTAGATGTCTGGGGAGCGGTGGGATTACCCACATTTGACGCCACCGCACCTAACCTCCCAATCGACTACCAAGAAGGGGATTTGAAGAAACTTTGTACGACTGTTTCAAATGCCACACTGGGAGATCCGATTGAATGGGCAGCCTTTTGTATTTTAAGTCAAGTGTGAGAACCAAGACACACCGTGGTGGCCTCGCCTCCCCTCTCTGTTTATCGAGCAGTGTCCACAGGCTCCGGCTGAATAGATGTGTTTCATCGAAAGCCACATCCATCTCAAAGGCTAGCACAGAATAACCATCAATACATCGAGCAAACGTTATAACGCCAACCCTACAATCACTGCGAGTGAGCGAGCGAGCCAACACAGTCCAATCTGAGCACCAAGCCATAACCCGTCACAGCCGCAGTACATTTCAGAGTTCACTTTGTAGCGGCAAAACCACGTTGCGTTTATTTTCTGTTTTCGTTAACTTAATGGAATACCTTGGCCAAATTTCTGAAAGGGGAAAAAAAATCTAAATCAGGGCAAGATAAGAAGGGCGTTTAGAAAAAAAGGGTACGGATGAAATGACCGCCCTCCTTCCTCTGCATTGTTGCCTGACTCACGAAAACACTGATAACGGTCACTTCGTTTCCCGTGGGCAGATTTCACTTTTAAGTTTCCCACCGCCGCTTCCCCCGTAGACAATTAAAATAGCTCAGAGACTGAAATCTCTGGCAAAATATTAAACTACATCCAATTTCACGGCCCCGCAAGCTTTTGCCAAAGCAACTTTTGAGATACGCAAGCCTAAAGCTGCACTCAAAGAAGAAAAACATGCGGAATATAAACCTAGGGCCTAAAGATTGCCGAAACTCCGATTAGCACGGTTGGCTACGTATGGCGCGAAATACATTCAACGTACGTACGTACGCTTGTCTATAATGGCTACGCAATAGTCCCTTCTGTCAAAAAACAGGGACCTCGTTAACACTGCTAATAATTGGCATGTATCTGCTCACAACACTGCTGGTGGAAATGTCTTCACTCGGGGGAGCTCGAGAGATGCTCTCTAGAGGGTTATGTGGCCTACCCGTCCACGCTGGCCAGAAATCTCGGAAGAGGTGGGAGTAGCCACACTTGATCTCATCATACGTGGCCTGCCGATTGACTCATGGTGGTGGGCCTGAATAGAGGTGGTGGAATTTTAGAAACTTGTCCCACGTAATATACGAATATCATCCACATTGGAATACAAATATCATCCGCATTGAAGGTACTACCAAAGTAAGATTTCATTGGTAGCCAGATGAAGTAACTTTAATTTTAAACAAAACACCTGTGGCAGACACAACACACACTAACGAAGCTTAATTAATATACACTTCATAAACATACGAACTGCATTCACGTAATATTAACCCTTTCCCATTCCCATGATGTACGTGTGTGACGTACGTCATCGGAAAAGAAAACCGGAAGAAAAACTAAAATAAAATTATTCTTTCTTCTTGGTTCTTTCGGTAAAGTCACGTAGAAGGAAAATAATAAAATAATAAAAATAAAACATAATAAAATAATTCTCACGACGTTTCGGCCACAACGCAAGCAGCCGTCTTCAGGTGGAGAACATGTCTGTCGAGAAGGCAGAAACGTCGTGAGAATTATTTTATTATGTTTCTTTTCATTATTTTATTATTTTCCTTCTACGTGACTTTACCGTAAGAACCAAGAAGATGAACCCCTGCAGTCACGAAAGCTTTAAATCGAAAAATAAAATTACTTTATCGGTGCCGAGGCTCCCACAAGGCGGCGTGGGAGGGCGTGTGCCATCACAGTGTGGGGGCGTGTTGCTACAGTTCTCCGCGGTGAGTGCAGGACAATGTCTTTAAAAACAATGGCGCCATGCTGCTCTCATTAAAATTAACTTTGAGCAGCTTGCGCGTTCCGAGATTCAGCGGTGAACGGGAACACCACCCCACCCTGCAACTTGCAGTCGTCTCGAAACGGGAAAGTGGTGAAGCACAACCAAATGGATCCCTTTCGGGACTCGCTACAGCGCTACCCGTGAAGACGAACGCCATGTCTCGTGCTCGACAAAGGAATTGGATCTCCCGGTGCTGCAGTTGAAATGACGATGTCAGTCTCTTCAATTCCCCACCCCCACCACCTCTCCCCCTTGCCTCTGTCCGCCCCATCAATATAAGTGGACAAGCTACGGTTAGGCGATCGGCAGGTCGTGTGCGGTGGGCTCGTCAAATGTGGCCACTCCCACATCTTCCATGATATTTGGCACAGCGTGGAAGAGTAGGCCAAAAACAAACAAACAAAACCCTTGTATTGGAGGCCTTCTGCCAGCAGTGACGGGAGAAATAAATTGCAGGGCTACCCTTACCTTCTTTATATGCCCATGAGCGGTCCAATTTAATCTCCCATGTGGAGGAGGACGCACTTATTTTCCTGTGTTAGCCCAGGAAGCTAAAGCTGTCACGAGATTCCCCCAGGGGATGAATAATGTATTCCTGTTCTATACTTTTAACTAAACGAATGAGTCGCAAGCAAAACAAAACACGATAATGACATGCAACCGTGTAGTGTCGCGAAATTGTTACCTAAACCGCATTGTCAGAATTCAGTTTTTCCGTTTCTGGTTTCGAAGCGCCATTGGAACCTGGTGGCCTGCGGGAACAAAAAAAAACAAAAAACAGAGTCAACGTTGCACATCGTTTTAGTTACCATTCATTGCAAACTGTCAACACCTTTGAGTTTCTGTTGGCTCGCGGGCGGTTGAGCAGATATAACAGTGTTGCCCGTGCAGCCAATTGCAAAAGAGGTTGAAGAAAGAAGCCCTTTTCAGGGCAGATCAACCTGCTCCATCTGCACACTTATCGGAAGTGTTGTCCACGTGCAGTGTTTGTTTGGTTAGCGTTATAGCATCGCTTTCATTACGGTGAGAAAACACACACAGCGCGTGCATGTGCTTTTTTACCCTTTGATTTTACGATCGTCGCCGAAACACCTGTCCAAATATTTGGGCGCTTGTTCAGAAACAGAATGATGAACTGGCTCCCACAGAGACCACATCTGTCATCACACCAGTATTAAAAAAAACAACTAAAAACGGCGCTGCTCTCAATGCGATTGCTCAACTCTAATTTAAAAGTGCAATGAGCTTCATGTGAAGATCACACTTTTATTGCCGTAATTCTTCATTCGCAACTGCGTTATTCTCGTCCATGCTGCAAAAGCGTGCGTGCAATTTACCACATTCTCCGCGTTACAAACGCGGGAGGAAAATTATACTGGGAGAATCTGCGCGTCTGATAATCCAGAGCATGCTGTGTAACTTTCATTCATTCACGCCTGCTTTGTTTCCGTGAACAAATGTTAGGTGTTCAATCTGGCGTTAACCCAACCAGATGGTCTGTCATGCATGTCTGTCTGTTGTATCAGTCTGTCTGCTGTACACGTCCGTCTGCTGTACACGTATGTTCGCTGTACACGTATGTTCGCTGTACACATGTCCGTTGTACACGTATGTCCGTTGTACATGTCCCGTCTCTTGTACAAGTCTGTCTGCAGTAAACGTCCGTCCGGCGAACACATCTGGGTGTAACCGTCTGGTGTACACGTCGGGGTACAGAGGCTCTCTCACATGGAGCTCCTCTTCTGGCCGAAGCAAAACTTCTTGGTCTTGTACGACCAGTAGATGAAGCTGCCCAGCACGGCCACGAGCAGCAGCGACACGATGATGGCGATGATCACGCGGCCGTTGCCGCTGTCACTGACTGATCAGACGGAAACCGCACCGGAGCAGAGGGCACACGCACGCACGTTGACACATTTACCGTGCTGTTAGGGAGCAGCACCTATGCAGGCCGGAACGCGCACACGAGCGGGTGGGTGGCCAGCACCACGCCCGGTCGCCTTTGTCTCCACAGTGCTGATGTTAACACACAACACACCAGGTACTCATTTGAGGCTGAGTCGACCTAGGAGATGCCCAGGACTGGTTCAGATAATCGTCACGGGTGTTGGCGTGAGTGGGAATCGTACTCAGGTCGCTGGGTTCGTAGTGCAGAGCGCTAACTGCTACACCACTGCTCCCCACAAAGACATACACATAGACACACTCACACAAAGACAAATATCCCCCATGTAACCTGAACAGACTTTTGGGGAAAGTACTGTCAGTGAGCACCTATTAAGGCCAACTCGGCACACGAGGAGGTGGGTCGCCCGCACCATGCCCGGCACACACACACACACGCTATCTCTTGCTCGTCTGACCCTGGATCAAAAAATCAAAACACAAAACCACCCCGAGCCAAAACATTCCCATCTCATATCAAGGGAAGCCCGCATACACAACAACACGTCAGCCTCACAGCATCATCCGTCTCCGCAGCCCTGACACGGACACAGGTCAAGGGCTGCTACCAACATACTGAATGGCTCCTCATTTTTGAATGCACATCGCATGCTGAGAATGCAACAGGCTGAGCGACGGCAGTGATCGAGAGTAATCCCGCGCTCGGGCTGTGTCTACGGCAGCGTTCGCGCCACGCGAGAACCGCAAATGAAATTTGAAGCCCCGAAGATTTCTGTGTCGCGTCATGTGGTTCGCGACGGCCGGGATTTGCCTCCCCGCCCCCCCCTTCCCCCCCAGCTTTCGGATTTTGAATCAGAGCGCACGGAAAGATCAAATTAAGGTGTCTCCGTGCCCCTTCCGTGAATGACGAACAAAAGCTCAACGAATTGTCAATAACACTAAAAAGGAACAACAATGCATTTGATAGGAATGGTCGTTTTTTGGGTAATGGGTCCTTTTTTCACACCTCATGTGGGATGTGGTATAAAGAAGGGCAGGCTACCCGAAGCGTCAACGAGCTATTTGCTATGAAAGGCCAAATGATAACCGTCGTTAACGTCGCTAGAAATAATTTAAGTGAACAGCGTGAGTAAATGAGTGTCTTTCCACGTAACGAAAATAAAAGCATATTTCACACACCCCAATAGCCATAATTTCAGTGACATTGCTTAAACGCAAGCAAACGCTGCGGCTCTTCCGTATTGGCTCAAGCGAGGCTGACCCCTGCTTTGCTTGTGTCGAACCAACGCTGCTGAAATTGCATACTCCCAGAAGGCCGTGTGAGACTGATAGGATGTGTCAAATAAATGTGATCAGGCGTATTCTGTGGTTTATATATTTATGTGCTTTGAGGAAGGGGCCACTGCTAAGAAACGTGACCGAGTATTATCGACAGATTTTTTTTAGTTTTGTTGTTGCTGTTGTTTGTGCACCACTGCCAACGCAGTATCATGAATAAAACTTTTGACTTTCACGGATGGCTCACTGATTGCACAATGATACGTGAGCAGAAGTGGTTAATGTCAATTAAAAGAGCCTTTCTTTAAATAATCCCAAAAATGTAAAATAACATTTCTCAAATGAATCTCTATGCTAAGGGCAAAATGTAAACTCTATTTGATGTTTTATTCGTACCTTTGTCCAACATTATTTCTTTAACTCACACAATTATGAACATGACTGCCCTCTCAAAATCACATTCAGAAAAAGTAACAAATTTGCCCGCAAAGTGCGTCAACCAAAATATGAAAAATTTGGCCGGCCTGTTAACTACGTTGAGTTTTAGGCAACGGAAATGGATTTAAGTGCTTAAAGTACGCTGTTGAAAAGCGTACAATGGCCAATTAATGTTTGCTCAAGATTATACTAAATGTCGTGGGAAGAATTATTGGAAATGAAACGATAAAAACATGTTTTCTTCATAACGACAAGTGGCAGGCAATCGTGTGACTGTGTGATGCAGTGGAATAATAGCCTCGTATCTGCCACAAGCCGCTGAAATGCGCGAGCAAAACTAAATGCACATTAAACTGTCGCGTCCAATAATCAAGCCCAGCACAAAATGTTCATTTTATGGGCAATAGAATTGCAGCAACAACAAAGAGGACAATCAGTTATCTAAATTAAAATCTGACAATTTAACCTTTCTTTCTGTTGGGAGAAAAATGAACAAAATTTTACAAAAGCAAGTCAATATTTTCCCACAATGCCTGACGAGACCTCTTTTTTATATAACCGTTCTCAACCGCAATACAATTTAGTTTGAAATATTACTGAAGCTTAAAGGCATCTCCAGAGGCGATATCACATCGTGACAGATACAAAAAAGGCCATTTATTGAATCTGGGATAAGCCGCATGCATATGTTCAGTACATTTGGGTTTATAGAATTGAATAGAATAATTCAAAAGCAATAGAAAACTTTAGATATATAGTCTTAGTTAAAGGATGTGGCAGGTCGCCGCAAATTTTTGAAGCTGACGTGGCAGCATCAGGCAACTCGTGTGCGATGCGACAGCGCAGCTGCACGGAGCGGCCTTTGAATACTGTCCAACGCGACGGCAAACAGCGCCGTGTGGGATATCGGCGACGTTGTTCAATTGTGTCCATGCCGAAGGAAAGTATAGCTGCAGAGTTTTGCGTAAGGCAGGAGTGGGTTGCAAGTAGCGCGAAACGTTTACAAATGGACGAGCGTCGGCGAAAAGTGACGGACCAGGGGTTGGCAACCCAAGTAACCAGAAGAGACATTTTTTTTCGAATTTGGTAAAACAACTCAATATTTAAAAACTGATCTTCCATGGTAAATTGGACTCCCATGGTTTAACTGAACTTTCATGGTAAATTGGACTTCCATGGTAAATTGGACGCCCATGGTAAACTAGACATCCATATTTTTTCACCTGATGACGATTGCTTGTGTTGCGATCGAAACGTCGTGATATTTTTTTTTATTTTTTATATCTACGTGGCTTTACCGAAAGACCCAAAAAATGTACTTCCATAGGAAACTGGACTTCCATGGTAAACTGGACTTCCATGGTAAACTGGACTCCCACGGTCTGGGGTCGGCAACCAAAATAACAAGAAGAGCCATTTTTTTTATTCGGTAAAAAAAAAACCCTCAATATTTCAAGAGCCATAAAACAGCCCTTAAAGAGCCGCACGTGGCTCCGAAGCTGCAGGTTGCCGACTCCCTGCTGATGAAGGTGTGAGAGCCCGACACGGACAATAAGAGATGGTGGCTCGGGGGGGGGGGGGTGGGGGGCCTTCCAACCAACGGTGGATAGATGCTGGCTGCTGTTGATGATGAAGATCAAGATGAATGGCCCATGAGCCCTGCCCCAGCTGCAGATGGCTGCATAATGCCAACAGTGTTTGAGGTAATAACCCCACAGCATTTCCAAGGGGGCCCTAAAAGTTAAGGCCCTAAAAGTTGGTGCAATATACAATCGGGTAGTAAATTACACTTGCACAGCTGTAAAACTTGAAGAAAAAAAGCTACATTCTCTCGGCTATGACGAGCGCTGACAATGTAATAAGAAACGGAAGAGAAAGAGAAGAAAGGGCTTCTTGCGGACGGCAAATGCGTGAGGTGAGACTGCGTGGGGGATGATGAGAAGCCAACGGAGCTCCGGCTAGACAGGAATTGTGCGATCTTTGACCCGGTTGCGCAGGTAATAACGACCCACGCAAGGATCCCCCCACCCCGCCCCCTAATCCAGCCACAAATTCCACTCGCGCTGGAATGTGGGCGCAGTAATTTTACGAATTCACGACTGTGTCAGGCCCGTAAAAAGCGCATCTCTGGTGGGCCCGATTGTGATGCAAATGCGCCGCCCACACCCTCCGTTGCACAAGCTCGGCACTAATAAAAAGGGGAGAGACAGAAGCCCTCTCCTCTAGCTGGCACAGAGGTGACAACGATTGTGGGTTATGCGCCCATCAGTCAAACCCGCACCGCATTACTTTGGGCTGCAAGTTATCGAGAAACAGTGAGACGTGGAGATAGTAAAACCGTTTTACATCTGCTGCAATGCCAGCACGACACGATATATCTCAAAGCACATTAGGATTGGCACCTGTGCTTTACAAGATGCTGTAAAGATTACATTTGTTTCTGAATTATTATCTTCATGGTACGTTCATGATTTTAATTGTGACGTAAAAGTATGAATGTCAACTCGTCATTGTGCTTTTCTTTATACTTGACTTAAAGCTGTCGTGACTGCAGGAATTCATATTCTTTGGGCCTTTCTGTAAAGTCACATAGACAGGTTCAAATAAACAAAAATAAACCAAAAACTACGACGTTTTTGGTTTAGCTGTATCAAGTAAGAGATGCAGCTATTGTGCTGTGACGGTTCCACCTGAAGACGGAAGCTTGTGTTGCCTCCGAAACGTCGTGATTTTTATTTTATTTTACTATTATCAATTAAAAATTTTTACCTATGTGACTTTACCGAAAAAACCTAAGAATATGAATCCTTGCAGTCACGAAAGCTTCAAATCTAGAACTACCACTGGCGTTAGCCGGGAATCGAACTCAGGCTACTGGGTTTATATTGCGGTGCGGTAACCACTGCAACTCTGCTCCCCGCATGCACGTACACACACACACACAAACACTCACACCCATACATATGTACACACCTGCTTCCAAGTCTTTGAAATGGAAGGAAATGCAAAGGATGGAAAAAAGGAAAACACACATTTACAATCCTGTTGAAGTAAACATGTAAGTGCTGATCGCGAGGAAAATGCAAATGTTGTGAGTGAATGCTTCAAGAGCAAGGACAAGCGCTTACCAGGGGGCGCAGTGGTTGGGCCTGTAAGAAACCGCAAAAAAAAAAGAAACATAAATTAAATGATGGAAGCATGTGATGGCATGCACATGAGTACATAAAGACAAAGATGCCCCTCCCCCACCCCCTGTATAGGCTTAACAGACTGCTGGGGCAAATGCTGTTAGCGAGCACCTATGAAGGCCGGCGCGGCACACGGAGGGGGTGGGTGCCCAGTATCACGCCTGGACGCCTTTGTCTCCCTAGTGGCGATGTTTTACACGCTGCACCAGGTACTCAATTGAGGCTGATTTGACTTAGGGGAGGCCCAGGACCGGTTCAGATTATCGTCACTGGTGTTGGCCGTGAGCGGGAATCGAACTCAGGTCACCGGGTCCGTAGCGCAGCTCGCCAACCACTGCACCACCACTCCCCACGAGCACTTACCAGGGGGTGCAGTTGTAGGTCCTGTAAGAAACCGCAACGCAATAACAAATTGAACGATGGAAGTTGGTGATTGCATGCACACGCGTACGTGCACACATACGCACCCACACATGCACACGCAGTTCAGTACCGGTCCCAGCTACCTGCCTATGCGTTACTTTGTTGACGATCGGGCAGAGTCAAGTGATCTCCTTCTCAACAATAATTAGAATTTTGAAAAAAAAAACAGCCGGCTTAAAAACTCAATTGATACTTTCCTGGGTATAAGTAACGATGTTTTTTTTTTAAAGGTTACTTGGATAAAATAAATAAATAAACAGATTTCGGCCGGCTGAATTCATTTAAAAAAAACCGAACTTCACAATGCAAAGGGAACATCGCCAACATAATTAATCGGAGTGCATTCACTGCTATGACTTTAACATAAATCAGAAACGCGGACATTGTCCAAAGAAAATGGAAAGAGGAATGGAAAAGAAGCGCGTGGAGACGCATGCTTGATATCCGCATCGAGTGGGGGGACAACATTGATACTCAACAGTCAGAGACACGACGTTGACTGCAGAGCAAAAGGAAGTGACGTCAAGGCAGGACCACGTGGCTCCAAATGACGATGCCCGGTGGCAATGATTGGAGCGGCAGCCAATGGGAGAAAGAAAACAAACGCCTGAGAGATACGTCCACTGCTGAGATGGAGCGATGAGACGGGCTCGTGTGCAGGTGCAAGATGAATTGTTACTTCGCAGGGCCATGCGAGATGGTGACGGCTTGAAGAAATCTTCATCCAGCAGTGGATAGATGATAGAATGCTGTGTACAGGCAGAAGTATAATGATATGTCGGTTTGCGTGAAAACATGAAATAGCTAATCGCGCGTGTGGGTTCGTTGAATCAGGAGGGTGGTAAATGCGATGCCGAGTCTCTCTGAGAGAGGTTTATCTAGGTCACTGTAATCACCGGATTCTGCACATTGTAAGATGCAGCCCAAACGTGTGCCTGGTGTCAATAACGTTATACAGATCTGGTCTCATACACACACACCTACTTGATCATACGACGCACCCATATTTTTGCTTTAACATGCAGGGATAAAAAAAAAAGAGTGCACCATAATCCGGAAAATACGAGGAGAAACTGTTCCTGGGTTTTGGCAATGTGTAAATTAAAATGATGGATTTTGGCCAGTTTTAAATGGTCCGCTCTTCGTCACTGTGTCAGAAGGTGATCAATGTTAATTTTACTGGAGCTCAGGATGCGTTGATTTTATCGGCAGAAATGACCAGGGCGGCGGGTTGCAGGAAGTGCACGCACTGGCCTCAGGACGTTTGTTAATCGCAGGCGGGCTGACCATTGGCCTTTCCAGCACCCCTCTCGTGGTCAGTGACTCGGCCTGCCTACCAGAGATTAACACGCGGTGGGCAACTATGGAGCCGAGTTGGCGCAACGACGATAAGTCACCATCACGAACGTGACGCAGACCTCCCCCGTGCGAAGAGTAGACAGGACCTCAGCTGACTTCTTCGTACGAGCGCACATTTTGTTTTGCACCGTGGGCCAACAGTTATAGTTAGAATCAGAATGTTCACTATTAATATGGAGGAGCCGCACGCTTGGAATTACACCGCGCAAAAGTGGAGCCCATAGATCACATGGCGTATACAAGTTTGAGATATCATATTGACTGTTCGGAGAAGCAAGTGGGTGTGGGGAGGGACGCATCTGTCGAAGGGTGTCGAGACTAACGACGGGGCGGGTGGCCAAAGCAGAGAACAGGCCCAAGAGGATGGATGGTACTTGCGGGGGAGGAGGAATGGAATAAACAGGAGTGCAGGAGCTTAGATGAATCGTTCATGAATTCGTTGCTACGTGAGACCGTGAAAGACGGCAACGTTTTGGAGAGGGCCTTCAGTGGCTAGGTCATGGCTATGCCGTTGACGATAATGAAACACAAAGCATTACATCTAGAGTCATGTTCACGATGATCCTGTGGGACGTATTTTTCCATTTCCCTTCTTGAGTTAGTTGTGTGTGGGAGGGAGGAAACTGGAGTGCCCGAAGAGAACCACCTAACGAACGCTCAAACACCTGCAGAGACAGCTCGGAAATCGCATTTGTGTGTCCTCCCCACGGTAGGGGCATCTCGTGCACATCATGGCCCCATCCTTGCGAGACCCGCCAACCCGACGTCGCTGGAACTTCAGGCGGCATCGTTGACGGTGTCGGTGCGGCGACGGGGGGGAGCTCACCGAGCCGCGTGCTGATGTAGAAGCGCTTGGTGCTGTGGCCCAAGTTGTTGGTAGCCGTGCAGTTGATGGGCGGGATGTTCTCCGACACCTTCACCATCACCACGCTCGTCAGCACGCCCGTCGTCTCATCCCAGCTGTCGTTCTGCTCGCCCTGCGAGATGACAAAAATTCAGTCGTCAACGAGCCCAACTCATTTAGAGAGAGAAAGAAAGCGACAACTCTTGCCAAAACGTTTGCGGCTTGCGAGCGGCGGGACAGCGAGTGCAAGGTAACAGAGGAGGGGGGGTGGGGTAGGGCGGGGGGGGGTGGGGGTGTCAGTCCGTTACCCCGAGTCGCTCGCGAATGACATTTCCGCGCCACGGGACACGGGGTATTTTTTTTACAGCTGATGGATGCCTGTCTAAATATACGCATCTGCACGCTGAGGGGTGACATGTTAGCCGCTCGGATTGTGCCTCATTACCGCGGACGTCTCTGCTTCAAAACGGTAGCCAGCCCTGACACACGGAGGTGGGTGGGGGGGGGGTGGAGGCGGGGCTCACGCTGAAATGTTTATTGAAATGACGCTTCAATAGCGCAAAGCGTATGCGTTCCGCCTCTTAACAGTGCGCATCCTCGTAGCTCGCTTGTAGATTCACTCAATCAAGGCTTTCAAGCACGGAATTAGGGAATGGCTTGAATCCTTAAATGTGTGTGGTTTTGATGAGCATTGTCGCCGTAAAGATAATGGTAACAATAATCATCATCATCATCACACAATTGATTTTGCATTTAACAAGTTTGCCTTCTCACTTGACGTAAAACGGTCCGCCGCCGTCATTGTGGAGCATTTCGTGAACGAGGATGGCACTCAACACAGCCGCACGGATAGCGATTGCTGACGTGGTGAAACGAAAATCAGCTCCTCACTCCACAAATTAGGGTCTCCCCAGACGAGCGACGAACCTCGTGTTATATTTTGATTCATTTTCTCCGTGCGTAATTGTGCGCAAATAACAATGCATCCACGCGCTTCCGCGAGTTGTTATTGAACTGCTCTCGAATTGCTGACAAATTGCGTCTCTTTAGCGGAACATCCTTCAAAAGGGAAGTGAAACTCTCAGTTGAATTTATTTTCCTCAGGAAGAAATTGTCGTTTATAAACCAGGTGTTGCTATGGAAATGCGTTCGTTTAAAAGGATATTTCAAAGAATCGTGATAGGAGTATATATTTCATCGCGACAATCTTATTTTATGCTCGTTTACTCTGGAATACCTTTCTGAGTCTCAAGACTATAATTTAGGAGATTCCCGCTAAGTTTTTGTAGAAGTGGTAACAATTTCTACGCGTTTCCTAATTGAGAAAATTGTATTTTTTTTTTTCATCGGGAGAAACCACACACAGGCCTACTCTCTCCTATAATAACGTCACGGAGTCTTTGACGTCAAACTGTGAAGGTGAAGATGTGTGCAGTAACGATCTTTAATGCACCCTCAGAATTTACCAGGGCGGCCATGGGCTCAGACCGTGAACCTCTGCAACAAGTGGGGAAGAAAACCTGCTGCCCGCTCGGCCGTTTGCCGCGTTCGGGCGACGCACGCATGTACGCACACACACACACACACACGTACGCACACACACACACACACGTACGCACGCACGTACGCACACACACACACACACACGTACGCACACACACGCACACGCACGTACACACACACACACGCACACACGCACGTACGTACGCACGCACGCACACACACACACGTACGCACACACGTACGCACACACGTGTGCATGCACACACACGCACGTACACACACACGCGCATGCACACACACGCACGTACACACACACACACACGCACGTACGCACGCACGCACACACACACACACGTACGCACGCATGCACGCACGCACACACACACACACACGCACGCACGCACGCACGCACACACGTACGCACGCACGCACACACACACACACACGCACGCACACACACACACGCACGCACACGTACGCACACACATACATGCACACACGTACGCACGCACGCACACACACACACACACGCACGTACGCACGCACGCATACACACACACGTACGCACGCACGCACACGTACGCACGCACACACACATGTACGCACACACGCACGCACACACGCACGCACACACGCACACACACACGCACGCACGCACAGAGACCGGACGTTCCAGTTGGGTCGCAGCACCTTACTCTCCGGAGCATCATTTTCACGACGAGTTTCGACTTAAGAATACGTCGTAAATCGTACGATCGGGTTCCCGTGGTAGGATTCTAAGAGCTGAAGCCGGGTGAACCCAGCGTGACGGCGCATGCACTGCCCGGGCTCCAAAAACACTTACAGAGTCCGACGGCTTTTCCCACGAGATGTCTGGGCGAGGGTTTCCAGACACGATGCACACGAGTCCGGTGGTGTCACCCAAGGTTCGCGTCTCTTTGTGATCCTTGGACTCATTGAACATCGGCTTCCCTGGAACACAGCGCGGTCACAGTTGGAAGGAGTCGGCACGCAAAAAATGTTTCCATCCTCAAACGAGCGACAGGTATTGGAGGGGGGGGGGAAATCTCATCTGCGTTGGCTGCCCTGAGCCAGTGGTGGAAATTCCACACTCCCATGATGGGGATGAATCTAGCCGAAAGGCTTATTGAAAGTGGTACTCGTTTGATTAGATGCAGGGATGTGATGCGTTGAGCCAGTCGACCAGCTGGTAATGACTGTGCCACGTGGCCAGTTCATGGATTCATCATCATCATGTCAATAGTCTACAGCTACACGAGATTCATTGACAAGGGACTCTCCCTGCGTTTATCAACTACCGTATTGTCTGGTATTTTAAAGAAAAAGTTTGGGGTAAATTTGATCATCCGGTAGGAGTGTGCGTATATGTGTGTGTGTGTGTGTGCATGATCAGATTTAGTATAACGTTATTTTAGTTTTGTTGTGGTTGCACCCGAGTCAAGAGCCACATGGCTCACAGGGTTATACCTAAAAAAATGAAACTGAAAACTGAAACTGAAACTAACACCAGGCACAATCTTGGGGTACATCTTGCTTTCCGGAGAATCTCACAATCCAGAAAAAGCTGTTACCGATATGGACTAAACCTTTATCTCCATAGCAAGCGTAATCGTCCGCTTCTTAATTGTACAAAACTCAAGCGTTCAGAATATATTTTGACAACAATACGGGGTCCCTTGGTGATACTTTAAAAGTCACAGGTCAAAAACTGCACCGGTAATTTTAAAACAGAACCATTCACTTTGCCGAACTATCTCTCATTGTCATTCGTGAAAAATGTGCCCAAGCTTGGGCCTCAATGTACTAATTTCCTCCCTTAGGGTGCCATTAGAATGTTCCACATTTTGTAAGCGCAAGCGAATTCAGGCTGTAATTATTAAAAATAAAAAAGTTATGGAAGTGAAATATTACAGCAAAGCTTTGATAAACTGAATCCGAATTTGGGTAATTTATTTGGGATGCTCCATTTTAAGCTATATAACACTATTCTGTTAAATTGAACGGTGAATAGTAATAGAAAAAAATGTGCCAATAATGAGAATCTTGGGAGCGACCCATGCCTAAACTGGATCATCAAGTCTAGCGAATTGACTCTCTGAGCCTAGCCATCGATGACTGCAAAAAATGAGACGTCATATTCTATTTTTTTGTACTTAGTTTGGCAACAACAAAAAATCTAGTTTTGAGGTTTAAAAAAGCACGATTTCATATGATTGCTTGCTATGTGAAGAACACATTTAGGGTGGAAATACGTTGTAACGTTCCTTTAAGTAACTTGAGTCTAAATTTCGATTTAAAGCTTTCGTGACTGCAGGGATTCATCTTCTTGGTTCTTTCGGTAAAGTCACGTAGAAAGGAAATTATAAAATAATAAAATAAAACATAATAAAATAATACAATTCTCACGGCGTTTCGGCCACAACGCAAGCAGCCGTCCTCAGGTGAAGAACAGGTCTGTCGGAAAGACAGTCTTTCTGACGTTTCGGCCACAACGCAAGCAGCCGTCCTCAGGTGAAGAACAGGGATGCTGTCTTTCCGACAGACCTGTTCTTCACCTGAGGACGGCTGCTTGTGTTGTGGCCGAAACGTCGTGAGAATTGTATTTTATTATGTTTTATTTGTATTATTTTATTATTTCCCTTCTACGTGACTTTACTGAAAGAACCAAGAAGATAACTTGAGTCTCTCAGAAGCAGTTCTTTGATGTCAACTTTTGCGAGCCGTTCTCTAACATAAGGCACATGACCACTCATCTTGCTGTGTCAATTGGAATAAAATTGGGGGGGGGGAGGGAGACAAATTAAACATTTAAGATAAAAAAATATTCACTTTGAAGCGGGGAATTGCGTCACAAAGACACACGTTAGATTATTCATTTTCACGACTTTCTTTTCTTATTGAAAAAGAGCGCTTAAAATATATAGAATGGACCCACACTCTCTGACAGCATAGAAGCATTTGCACTGGGGAATGACACCAGTCGGATGACAGCAACAGCAAAAAAACAACTTATGCCATTCCTCCGGTAGATTTGCTTCACCCAGGCACAGGACAGTAGCACTCCGTTTAAAGCTCGTTTCATGAAAGAGTTGATCGAATGTGCGCCAAGACCTTCAGTGTTGGGATTGCAATACATTTTTTTGCGAGCATAAAAAAAAAATGAAGACATTTTTCATTGTCGTCATTGGTGACTGATCCGAAACCATCAATTTACCACGCTCTGGTGACTAAAACATGGATCTTGACGCAGAATACCAGTGGCTCTTGACACCCACTGGACTGACATGGGCATTAGCCTCCTGATCCGTGAGACGCGAGACTAAACGTCCGCTCCGAGGGCCGCGTGCACCGGCGTGCGTGTGCGCCGCGCGTTTAACGTTTCATAACGAAGGTGGAAGGTGGCGGGCGGTGAGGGGCGGTCGCATTGATGAGACCCCCGTCACTGAAATTCGCCCCCCCTCTCTCCCCAGACTCGTGAAAAAGGTAATTGCAACAGCCGCTATCGTGCCATTAAAACAACACAGCTGCTCATCCCACGCGCTGAAGATGATTATTTTTCAAAAATCATTCTGCTGAATCGCTAACAGGTCCAACGCTCTCATTTGCAATGCAAAGTGACAGGCGCGCACGCGGGCCGTTGTCAAAACGCGGCTTTGGTGCCGGTCGTTTAACGCGCTCGCTCGTTCGGCGACCGGAGAGGGAGAAAGCGGAACACACGCCGCCGCCGCCACGCCGTCGTACCTTCCACGGTAACTTTGACGGAGCTCGAGCTCACGAGGCCCGGCACGGAGGGCAGGGAGGCGACGCAAGAGTACTCGCCCATGTCGGACAGCTTCACGCTCGGCAGGTTCAGAGTGGCGACGTTGGACACCACCTTCCCGGCCTGCAATGCGCAGCGCAGAAACAAAGTGGGCAACTTTTCAGGCGAGAGTGTGATCTGTGAGTATTGAGAATTCCATCGTTTTACTCTTAATTCTTACCCAATGGCAGGATACGCACACCAGTATACGGTGGGGATTTAAGAAACTTGCCTCATTGTATCAACTGCCGTGCAGGCAGGTTAAATCGGTGACCTCCGGATTGCAACTTCAGTGCAGTAACCATTACACTGGATCAGCATCCGTTTTCCAAGAAGACCAATGGAGAATAGGAATGACCTAACCACCTCACCCTCCCACCCTCCACCCACACTGGGTCGCAGCGACATCGTTTCCAGTTCAACATTTATGCTTGCATGGCACAGCAGCCCACCTACGCATATGCGTAGCATATACACAAGCCACAAAGTGGCCTGGAATTTCTAACACACACACTACTTCTTTAATTGGGCCACATTTGCTAGTTTGCTCATTAACCATGTAAAAGCCTCCCTTTTTCCATTTAAGTCACAGATTCCTCGCCTGTTCTTTAATCTGAGCTTGAGGCTTCACGCGATAAGGCCTCTGCTTGGCCAAGATTAGTTACACGGCGACTTGAGTCGATCTCGGCTATTTCAGCTTTGTGAATGCGCTTCATGGTGCTCTCAGCGCTTTGACGTTGCTTCACGTGAAAGTTGTCCCATAGATCGATGTTGTATTGTATGGATTTTCAGCGTCGCTCACCAGAATTACAATTCCGTGTCACCTTTGTGTCGTTGGTGAAACAGCATAGTGGGGCTCAGCATCTTTCAAAAGATCCTAAAGCCCCCTCTCGCTGGCTCTGCTTTAAAGCATTCAGTGTTGAGACGTTCTCTTTTTTTGGACAAGAGAAGCCCATTGTTATCACGTCAGATTAACCACACAAAGACAAGCAGGCTTCAATGCAAAACCCGTTGGGCGCAAAGTTGTTAAATGAAGTGGCTCTGCATAAAGACGTTCATCAATAATGATCAACAGTGACTCCATTGCCCTCGAGTGTCTCCCTGGTCGGGATAAAAGCCACCGTCACTTGAGGGCCCAATCTCAATCTCGCTGAAAATGAGTTATAGGGAGGTTAAAAGAATAAATGTCTTCCTGGGTATTTTTTTTTTGTTCCGCGAGATGGTTTTTGTAGCTTTGTTCAAGTGGAGCGACCCGCTCGCTCGCCCGCCCGCCCGCCCGCCCATGATAATTTCAAGGTTACTCTTTGTCAACCCAAGATAGCTTGAGCAAGGTAGGAGGAGGGCGCCGATGCCAACGTGACGCCAACGAGGCAAAAGCCCTCCCCCCGCCACACCTCTAGTCCGAACCGTGTGGCAGGCCAATCGACAAAAAAACCCACGGCAGTCGTGACTCCTTTATCCGGAACGTTTCCCAAATGCACGGAGGAGCTTGACAGCAGTTTTTGGCCAAAGACGTCGGCTGCTGTCGGAATAAAAAAAAATAGTAGCAAAGTGCATTGGGATTTATTTTATTTGCTGAAAAAGAGTCTGGCTCTCACGAGAGTGGCAACAGAGGAAATTGCCTGCCGGCAGCGTGCACACCAGAGAGATGGCTCAGAGCAGCTTGCACTCACACACCACCGGACATGCGAGAGAAGAACCCAGATAGCCTCAGACAGCTCTGCAAGAAGACAAGCCCAGCACGGGATCAATTGTGACAAGTTCTTATAAAAATGGACAGAAGGAGAGGGAGAAATAAGCAATGAACCGCAACAGGCTAAAGCTATGGAAGTACACTTTGTACTTCGAAACGTAGGTTTCCAGAAATAAATTTAAGCCGTGACATGTTTCAACTGCATGCAGTCTCCCAATGCCAACCAAGAGAATCGCACAAGTTGCACAGTATCATTTTACTTCACACATATTATTGAGCAACACACAGTGACACTCACAGAGCCTACTAAACCATTTGCTTATGTAATGCACTCTGACTTAGAATGACATCACCGGAAATTATCTTTGTACAGCAGCATTATTGACATCTTATTAGAGAAGCAATTATCTTTTCACACACCAGGGAGGCCAGCTTCGTGATTAAATTCAGAAAAGCCACGAAAACAATGATGTCAGCACACAAACAAATCAGGCCTCAATGCATAGCAGTGGCCTCACCACCAGCCTCTTTTGTCACTTGAAACCACAATTCACACCGCCAATTGTGCAACAGTGGGGACGTATTGCCGGATGCTGATGTGCGGCTGCGAGTGGTGGAGTGCAAGGAAATCCGACCAATGAAATCCGACCAATGAAAAACAGTAACCTCACAAATGAGCTCGCTGTGAAGAATGCCAAGAGTGTCTCGACCACGGCAAATAAGGAAGGAAGAAACAAGAGAACCATTGGGACCCGAAGTGACACTGAGAGAGAACAGCCAAGAGAGATGACTCCCGCGGTTTGGACACGTGGTCCAGAAGCGATCGGGGAAAAGAACAGCGCACTCGTGTGGCGTTACAAACACAAGCGTGCGGAGAGAGAAAATCGCGGACGGGCAAAGGGTGCACACCGGGGTGGCGCGGTGATGAATGATCTCGGGAAAACCGGGGGCAACGAGCAGCAGGGAGTTTCAGAAGTTTCCCGAAATGGTTATGTTTGCATCTCTTTGAGAACCGCGGTGACGGACGTGGCCGACGGGATACCTTTCTCCATGTGTAGGTCGGTGTCCCGGACGACGAGGGAGTTGCGCAGGTCACCTGCACCTGCACTCCAGCCATGACCTTGATCGGCTCGGATGGGGTAAGCTTCACATCATCCAAGTCTGGTGAGGGGGAGAACCAACGGAAAGACAAATCCGGAAGGCCACATTTATTTGGAATCAGAATATTGATTCATCCTGGAGGGATCAGAACGTTACAACACCAAACAATACAAAAACACGACAGGAGTTCAAAGTATAGAAAAGGCAAGTAAATCACTCAACCCAATAGAAATAAAACTAAACTATTTTACCAGGTAAAGCCCGCTGAGCTTCTGTTTCAGAAATGACCTGGCCACAAATGATAGCTCAAACGAAATGGCTTATCATGTGGAAATGTATAGCAGCGAAATAATCTAAATAATCTAAACGGAATGTGCAAAGGGTTTAGTTTTGGTGGATAGTCAACTTCAAGACCACAATCCCTTCCAGGTTGATAAATTGAGTATCAAACTTTGACAGGTCCACAGTGCTCATGTTCATTCGATGAAAAGACTAGCCCCTTCCATAGCAATGTGGAGACTTTACCACTGGCTCACGACTGCTAATGTAGATTGGAGTGCCACCAATGCTCATCTGAGAAGGTAGTTTACTGCTACTTTCAACGCTTGAGTAATTTGTTTTATTTACTGTGCCATTTGACGTATATCGGGATGCATCTATGACGACAATAAACAATGCTTGGAGGTAACCCGCGTGCCTGCCCACAGCTTCAATTAGTTCTTATAAATACGCTCTGTCACCGCAGCGTAAAATAAAACGAGACACCTGTGCAGTGCTCCACAGCAGCTGTGAGTGCACTCTCAAACGCAGGGCACGTGTCCTTCCAGAAACGCATACCACTTACCATGCATCAAAGCAAAATCAATGCAGCCTGTATAATAATAATAATAATATTCACTTCCCACTGGTCGGCTCTGCAGGGATTACCAAGGTTTCTCTTTTGCCCTTCCCCTTCCGAGACGAATGTTGGGCTGTGGACGCGACCCAGCGGTAACGTGTTCGCTAATTGAATCCGGTAAGGAGTATTTGCCCGTAGAATACCACGCGACGTCTACTTCACAATTGTCTGTTTTTCAGGACCCTGTAGCATTATTCGGAAGGAGGAGGCCATCGTGTGCCGACATCCCGGAGGGAAGAGGAATGGAACGTGTCTGAGATGACGTCCGTCGATGAGATGGAGCGACGGACCGAGTTCATCGCAGGTGCATGGCGGATTGTTACATCGTGGAATCGTTATTGGTGGCCCCAGCTTGGGAAGCCCTTCATCCAACAGTGGATTGCACGTGACTGATGATGATGATGATGAAGATGATGCATGTCGAAATTATATCGCACCGTATGTAGCCAACCGTGCTAATCGGAGGTGCGGAGCGAGGACAACGAACTAAACACTAAGAGCAGTCCTCAAGAAATTAATTTTCAATATCGATTTAAACGTGAATAGCTCCAGTGCCTTTCTCATTTCGAAAGGAAGAGCATTCCAGACGGCCGCAGAAGCGCGTCTCAAAGCGCGCGATGCAAAACAGCTTGTGCCTTTGTCTTTGGTACCCATATAAATGACTATGCGCACAACGCCATGGCTGTAAGATCTGGCGCGCAGGTGCTGGGATGGATCGTTGCATCGCGGGATCGTGAAACGTGGCGGCATCTTGGGGAGGCCTTCATCCAGCAGATCCAAGCCTTACTAGCTATGTTTTTCGCACGTGTATTTATGCATGTACGCGTGTGTGTGTGTGTGTGCATGCGTGCACATGCATACGGTACTGTGACCGGGGCACAAGCTCCGTCTTGAGCCGTTGAGTAATGCACAGCCTCACCGCCCGGAGGCATGGCCCGTCTCATTATGCGAAGCGACGGTGCCTGCGATGCAGGTGACAGCTTCCAGCATGCAAGAAGCCCCCCCACCCCCCCCCCTTCAGCGTACTAAGCGTCGCATAGAGCATCCTCGAGCAGCGAGACGTTTGTTTTTTGTTACCGATTTTGATACGCTGTCGAATAGCGCAACACTGTGCTTCCCTAATTTCTGTGAGTACGTGTCAAATTTTTATGCAATGGTTCAATTAAGCCATGTCGCGATGCGCGTGGGGGAGAAACCAAGGCAGGTGGCTACTTCAGTTGCCTCATTAGCGGTTGCATGCTATTTTATGAGAAATTCCAACTGATTTTTTTTTCCTTCCTAGGGTTCCTTTCAAGTTCATCAAATTGATCGTTTAAATATCCTCCAAAATCTCATTCGGAAACCAATTTGTTTCAAACAGCTTTTCTGTGTGACTGGTGTGCTTGAGGTGGCTGTTTTAATTGGGTAGTGGGTTTGTGTTTTGGTATTGGGTCAATCGCGTAATTTCCTTTAGATTGATTGACTTTGGCTTATTAAGCTCAGCCGTAATTGAGTGCCCCACGAAATCCTGTGTGCGAGCGTACGCTACATGGACGCGCATTTTGTAAGTCGAAGCAAAATACGGCAATCGCGACGGAGACAACAGCGACATTGACGATGACGATTATTGTTTGGCAACTCTCTCGCGCCACTCACAGTTCACCACGAGATCCTTGCTGCTGTTCATGGATGTCTCCATCCAGTCGGGATTGAAAGCTTGACACCCGTAAGTCCCGGTGTTGTTCCGATTCACGGCAGGCAGGGTCAGTCTGTCCTTCACGGCTATGCTGGCATAATCAAACTTCGCCGGCAAACTCTGAAACGAGTAAATGGGAGCGAGCAAAGTCAGCCGTCACGAACAGCAGAGCCTCGAACACAACACAAACTTCAACGGGCTCGGCTGAAAATCTCCCGTGGCATTACGAGCCTCATGGCATCGGTGCGCGTGTACATGCCCCTCTCGTTGTCAATTAACTGCCGGATGCCATGAGAGGAACAAAACAGAGTGCCTTCTCACCTGGTAGAAGTCGATCTCGGGTAGGGGGAATCCGTCCGTCTCGCACCGGAACACCACCGTGTCCCCTTCCTTCACGGCCACGCTGGGAGACTCAATGATGAGGTTCACCTTCTCAGGCGGATCTGTTCATCGCAAGGCGTCCCACAGACAGGAATCATCGTATGCCGCCACCGCCCATCGTCATAATTAAGTTTAGCACGGTTATCGCCGTCATCGTCGTTCTCATCGTTGTTTTCATCTTCACCATTAACAACAATGCCACTTTCACCATCATAATCATCGTCGTGAATTACCACTGGTGCTACCGCCATGATCATTACTGTAGTCAATATTATCAGAAATATTGTCATCACCCCCTTCACTGCCATCATCATCATCAACCTTTGTAAAACCAACCTCAAAATGCAGCTCGAATACAAAACCTATGTGTTAAGTTAACCAACGCACTATAATGTCATTGAATAGGAGCTAACATCCATGCTGTGTTGTTCTCACAAACCCTACTGCAGATCTCGGCCATAAACCCTCTACACTCTGCATAGTATAAATGCCCTGATTGAGTGTCCATGACGAGCAGAGCTGATGTACATTCATGGTGGATTCCGTTGTATTACCACACGCTAACAGGCAATACTACAGAACTTCTTCAGAGATCCGTTCAAGTGACCTCTTTCCCACTATAAGGGAGAACACCTTCCCACAGACGCACTGCAACAGGACAACGTTGATTGTATGCAAGGAAAACGAACATCGTTGGAATTCTCGAAGCCACATTCTACACGTGTTTTATTCGCCACGTGCTAAACGGCGTCTGCTTGTAGCTGTTATTAAATAAAGCCGTTAATAAAGCTAATATTAAATCAAGAAGTAGCTGTATCATACACCTAAAGTAAGTTTGAGTCGCGTGCAACCCTTTGCAATTTAGTTCGAGTGAACTTGGCAAATCGGGGCGCTGGAATGTCACCGATTGCCGCCGCGGCGTAGCGGTCCCCTCGCTCAAGGGTCGCCCGGTTCGATTCAATTTCCCGGCGCGGCAGTTGAAACAACGGTGCAAAGTTTCTTAAATCCATGTGTTCACCGCCGGTAGTCAATGGGGGGGGAATCGCGTGCGTTGGGGGTGAATTGCGGGTACTCCCACCCCTTCCCAGATGCCTGGCCAGCATCCAAAGGAGTAGGTCTTAATACCCCCTTGGTTGGAGTCCCTTCCGCCAGCAGTGGCATGAGAAAGCAATTGTAGGGCTGCGCCTTTACTTTGCTTCACACAGATTTTGTAACAGCATCCGGCAGCACCGAATGGAAACGGCCATGCGACGGAACACGTGTGTGGCCAACGAAGCCTGTCAACGCCGTGCTAAGCCACCTTAGAACTAAACTAAAACTATGAGAATGATATAAACTACAACTATTTTTTATTTTACCAGGTAAGGCCCACTGAGCTACTATATATCTATTTTTCTAAAGCGAGCTGACCACAAATGACAGCTCAACAAAGTGGTTTATCGTGTGGAAATGGATAACAGCCAAATACTCAAAATGCATGTTTCTAAATGTGGAGGGAAAAACTGGAGGACCCGGAGAAAAATCAACACGACCACGGTGAGAACACGTAAATATACAGCAGGCGTCAGGGTCGGGATTGAACCCACGACCTACTGTATATCAGGCGAGGGAGTTGACATTTCGCCACCACGAACGATAGACGCGCCTCGCGGAGACACGACAACACCTGCCAGGGAGGCCGTGTCATGTGACACGCACGCAACTTGCGCACACCCAGCCCGTGCACCAACGCCAAACACTAGGACACCCGTCGACCAGTCAAACAGCCGTAGTAATCCCGGGGGGGAGGATACTAGAGGGGGGCTCTAAATGGATGACGCTTCACACTTTTATTTATTGTCCTCCAATTTACCAACGATGTCCACGTGCCCTTCTCTTGGGACACATGCAAATTGGAGTCCCCAGGCGCGCGGGTAAGTGTCGGACACCGCACGCGTCTCCGGCGCAAACGCGCGGCACCCCGGCAACCGCTACACAGATTTGTCACCGCGGCGTTGATGGCCCGATGCGCCACATCTTCAATTACCATCCGCGGCTTCCATTTTTTAGGTGCGCGGGGGTTTGAGTGCGACACCATCAGAGGAAGAGCATGCGCCTCCGTGTGAGCGCGCGCGCACGCGAGGTGTGGCGAGCTGGCAGAGAGCGACGGTGAGTACACTGAGCTCTGAACCCCACGGCCAGAGTTTGATTCCCGGCCATGACGAACGTCAGCGGGCATTCTGATGGTCAACACCACCTATTGGTTTGCTGCTCCAGACTTAATAAATGCTCGCTACCAGCAGCCTTTAGACGCCATCCAGGTGATCATTGTGTTCAGTATGCATGGGAAAGGCATGCTAATGAACCCTTATGAAGTCAAAAACTGTACAGAAACACCCTTTTGCCTTTTCCCCAATTTTAATTCGATTGTGCCATTGATGTCATCTCATTCGAACTGTTCAGTGAAGGCAATGTCACAGCGCCCGCCTCTGAGCTCCTTTGAAGTGATCCTCTTTAACCCACTATGGGGAGAGAGAGAAGCAATTTCCCACAAAGCCCTCCTGCAGGAAAAGGTTTGGTGCGTGGCATTAAAAAGAAAATGTTTCCGCCAATATTTTCATGATTCACCAAGCCGATGTTTTAGCTAAACAATTGAAACACCCACTGAAACAATGTATCATGGTCGAATAGGCTAAGTGACTGTCAGATAGATTGACGTTTGTCTCTATATTCCCTCCTTGAGCGCGTTCCATGTAAAATATTTAGTTTAAAAGCATTCCTGAGCATAATACATCCTAAAGAAAAGATTTACATCAACAAACAATAGTTTTTTGAATTATTAGATCGTATTTATTTTGTACCAATGTGCGAACACTGGTGACATCACCCAATGCCACTTGACACCACTATTGGCAGCAAAAGGAAGGAAGTGATGTCATAACAAAGACATCACTTCCGGTCAATGGAAAATTGAAGACGAGCCACAGTAGTACAACTGTGGTCATGCAACCCAAACTATGGACCACGTGGTAAAATACCGTAGTCTGCGCTCCTCCAACGGAGGAACAGCAAAACGACACGAACTCTCTTCTGAGGCCCCTCTCGTCGCGGCGAGCAGACGATGACATTGGCAACTAGCTCCTGAGTGTACAGTAGAACCCCTCTTAACGACCACCCATGTTAACAACTGATCGCTAAGCGACGGGCCTCCATAGAGCCCAATGTGTAGTGTACAGTGTCGTGTATAGTAGTGTAGTGTATAATAGTGTGTAGTGTATAGTAGTGTAATGTATAGTGTAGTGTATAGTAGTGTATAGTGTATAGTAGTGTAGTGTGTAGTAGTGTAATGTATAGTGTAGTGTATAGTAGTGTAATGTATAGTGTAGTGTGTAGTAGTGTAATGTATAGTGTAGTGTATAGTAGTGTGTAGTAGTGTAATGTATAGTGTAGTGTATAGTAGAATTCCTCTTAACGACCACCCCTATTAACGACTAATCGCTTAGCGACGAGCCTCCATAGAGCTCATTCCCCTGTTAACAACGGCCTGTTGGAGGTACAGTAAATATTACTTAATGCATTATTAACCATGTTTCTTTTAATAGTATGTGTTTATAATGTTGTTAGTATCTTTACGTATTAATATCCATTGTTTAAATATAATAACGTAATTTCTCTGGTGAAAAATGATTATTTTCGATGCTATCAGAACGAATTATGCCTTTAACATGTAATTCCTATACTCGCATTAATGACCAAATCAATTAACGCCGGTTTTGTGGAACCATTTACCGTCATTAGGGGGGGTTCTAATGCATTGCCATCATATGCAACATTGGAATGGAATCAGATTGATTTAAAGCAAGAAAAACTAAAATCCAATCACACGAAATTTCGCATATCTAGGCCCTACATTCGGATTTTGCCGGATGAACCCGACACTTGGGAGTCCACCTCTGCTGTATACACACTCGCAGATGCCCTTTGCCTGTCCCATGTACTCACAGTGCATTGTCACGTTGATTTTCTCCGAGTCGATGGCCTTGCTGCTGCCTGGCATCTTGTAGTTGACCTCGCAATGGTACTTGGCTCTCACGTCCGACTTCTGCGGCTTGTAGTTCAGGACGGACGTGACGGTGAACGTGCCGTCGGTCTCTTTCGTGACCGTCGGCGTCACTTTCACGTCTGCCACAAGTACCCATGCACGCACACAGTTATCCACCCGTTCGCCTTGTAAACTGTCGACTGTGGGCACAATTCATCTTAAGGCAGAGTCAACGTAGACTAGGCCCAGAACAAGTTTCGATATCACTTTAATCGTGGTTCACCTAGGGGAGGCCCATAACTGGCTCAGACGTTCGTTATCCACGATACCAGGGAGCAGGATCGGACTTGGCCAGCCAGGTTTGTAGCGAGGTGCACTAACCACTGTGCTACCGCTCCCAATCCCACAAAGACACAGATCCTCCCCATATCCTTAACAGACTGCTGGGGCAAGTGGTGTTTGTGAGCACCTATAAAGGTTGCACAGCACACTAGAGGGAGGATGGCCAGCACCACGTCTGACTGCCTTTGTCTCTCCAGTGGCGATGTTTACACACCGCACCAGCTACATACTTAATTGAGGTTGAGTCAACCTAGAGGAGGCCCGTGTAAGCAGGTTCGTAGTACAGGGCACTAACCACTGCACTACCGCTTACCCATACCAAACACACACACTCGCGCAAACTCATTTACAATTAAATTATGTGCGTATGTGCATTTGTGATTCTTGCAAATGAGCTCTGTTAATTAAAATAAGTAAAATCAGTGATTGCTAGTGCTGGGCACCAACTGTAAAAATGGCAAATGTTGAACCAAGACTGGAATTTCTGACTACGCATGTTAATTGATTACAGAGTACTACAAGTGACGCAAATGCATCGGTTGTGCCAATTAGTGTTCGCGTGATGTAGCTCGATATCACACGTGACCGAGTAGGTAGAGTAGAAACATAAGAGAAGCCCCATGACTTCATGCGCCAATACATTCACGTCGCAGCAAAAAGTGCCGTCCCACCTGCAACCATTAAAATCCGTTCCGTTTGCATTCATCGCACGCACCATGCGTTTGTATGGCCTTTTGGTTTTTTTGTTCACATTTTTATGGAAAAGTTAAAAGAGAAAAAGCACACATCAACGGAGCGGGTTCCGTGCACGCGCACACGTATGGCTAATACCGTGCGCGCACACACACACACACTTCAAACAAAAGCGGGCGTGATGGAAGCCCGGTCTGTGAAGCCGGGTGTACATGTGTTTATTTTACGGACGCTACAGGAGATTCAAATGTATTTACTTATCGGCCCATTAGCCCTGAGCTTCAGAAGACCTTTTTTTATCACGCTAAGACAGGGTCTGGATGGCCGATGGAAATCAATTTGCTTATCGGTGGGAAACACATTTCTCGGGGGCTGCTTGGTTAACCTGTGGTGTATTTACGTCCAGCACCAGGCCAAATTGTGGCGTGCAACATATTACCGGAACCCGCTGTTGTATTGTAATATCCGAGCGGTACAATCAAGGTCAAAAAGCTGCTGCTGCTCTATTGAGAATCTTTACGCAGCCCGGCGCTGCCGAAGCGTGCGTCTAAATTGCCAAGAAACGACGTCCCTTTGCCAATAGCATCCGGAAATGCGGCGGCATTTGTTTGACGGGCGCGATTGCTGATGAGACTCAGAAAGTCGAAACCGTTTTCGGAGTTTGCTGCTGTAACAAATGGTGCTGATAAAGCATTGGGTACCGGGGGAGTTCTATTGGGCAATAGACTACAACGTGTTATTTTGTGTGTAGAGAGTGACTTTTAAGAATAGGCTTTACCCTTTCTGGAAATAAAACAGTTGTTCAGATGTTGAGACACCAAAGGCATCACGTCCGCATTGACCACACATACGTGTGGCGAAACATACAATACAAACATGCTCCGATATTATATGCACCGTCTTTGAAACTGATTGGCCTACGCCAGAGACAGCCTTATTTCTCTTGCCTCGTCTCACCAGTGTCAGACCAGAGGGCACCAAAAGGCGAACAGCACTAAGGCAATGCAAGCATGATACTCGCAAAAAAAATTACTCGCAGATAGAGAGAGACTTCTGTCCGTATATTTATACATGGTTATTTGTGTCCTGCATTGAGAGTGGTGCGCCAGGAACGAAAACTCAACACCCCCGACACTATCACCGCCCGCAAAGCCTGGTTGAGCAGATCTTCTCGAAAGCTTTCGCCACCCACTACTGCGGGCGCATTCAGGTGGTGGTGCCCGCAGTCGCGCGTGGCGAAATCTCCGCGGAAGAAATGCTGAAGATGTCGCCCGAAGCGGGCAACCACACTCGAGATTACGGGCGGGCTGGGAAAACGTACACCGGTGGCCCTTCTTCGCAGCAAAAATGAGTGGCAAACATGTGATTTGCACATTATAGGTGGGTGAATTGCTTCAGATATTTACCAGCAGATGGCAAAAGGGGCACGGAACCCTTGTACCAGGTGATGTTGGGCTCTGGGTAAGCATTCTGCACCAAACATTCCCCGATCTACACAGAGGGGAAACAAACAGACCAACAGTGGGCGCGCGCACACACAATGACAAAGGAATGCTCATCCATCAACATTCCATAGTATACAATGAGCTTGAGGGTGGTGGCTTATTTTTTTTTTATTATGCGCACCCCCTGCACCCACCCAGCTCCGGCTGAAGTCTGCAGGGCAGATACACCCCACGTAGGGCAAGACTTCGGATGCCCCGATAAAACGATTCAGCAGCGGTTCAATAAGATGTTCCTTGATTGCATGGAGGTGTACGTATGTTGAACTTCTTTCGTGGTGAGGGGGGTGGGCGTCATCTGCTGAATCCCGCCATTCCCCTCCATAAAAAAACGTACCACGCTAGCTAATAACAAGGCCCTAAAATAAGTGAAGCTTCAGGCAGACATTGCTCTTCAATGATGCGCTTGAATCGCTCTTCCTTCAGATCTTAGGAGCCCACTGGAGCTATGTGCTTTTACATCTAGATTGGAAACTAATTTTGTTTTAGACCTGATTTTTTGTGTGTTCGTTGTCCTTGCCATAACAACTCTGATTAGCAAGAGTTGTTCAACATGCATACAATGAAGAACGTTCCATTGCCTGCAATGTCACTCATTATGTACACCCCCCCCCCCCCCGCGCAAAATTTATGGAAGAGTTATTATTGACGAAAGTGTTCAGGTTTTGATGTCGCGTGACAAGATAGTGTTTTGCTTAACAGGGTATCGCTGCTAAACATCCATAAAGAATGCGCGTTAACAGCCGCAGGGCGGCGTCGCAACGTGTAACAACAAAATAACATTACTCACGGAAAAAAACCAACTCGCACGCAATTTCTTTTAAAAAATATTGCCTTCATGAACGAACCAATAAACGATCCGTTCCACCCACCAGGTGCGCTAGTTAATGCGAGGGCATTCATGGGCACTCGTATGACACGGGGCCCACAATAGCCTCGCTGCGTGCGCGCCCCCACGAGGAGGGATTTTTAAAAAAGTCTGCGCTGGGCAACTCCAGCCTGAGCTGATCTCCGAGCATGCTACGCTAACGATGGCTGGCTGCAGTGGTGCCAGAGTGACAACCGTTCCCGCGTGGCTAGTCAGCACGAGCCTTTTTAGTGGACGTTCAACAACCATGGGCGAGATTCCAGCGCCTCGAGTAATCCACTTGATTTCCACCAAAGCCTCGCAGACGTTACCTATATATCTGGTGACGTCCGCACCGAGCGATGGCGAGGATTAGTTATGAAAACGTGAACGTTGTGAGATGTGGGTTCCGTTACGGCGACTGGCTGGAGAGCCCGATAAATGTGTGGCGTGTTGCTCAGCCAGTTTGTGCACGTTCAATTTTACACAGCCGTTCCGCGGGAGAATTACAAAAGCTTATTATCACTCCTCCACGCATCCGGTAATCCTCACTGAGCACCTCGACACCTTTTAATTAATGTCCTAGATTGTGTTGTTTGCTCAATTAATTGTTGTCATCTTCCCCTAATATTATCCAAATCGTGCCATCGGTGTCACATCGCGAGACCAAGTAACTGTCCAGACCTCTCGCAGAGCAGTGAAACTCGTCGTTTTGGAGAGACGGTCCATGGAAGGGGGTATCACAGAGCTGCATCTGAGACCTCGGGTCCTCACAAAGTTGAGGGCAGCAACCAACTCTGCATACGAGTGATATTTGTCTCACGGCAGTAGGGCGGATTTTTTTTCTCAGAGCTGGATTTAAGCCACATTAAGTTCAGAACCAAATTTTTTACGTGACGTTTATTTTCGCACAGTCATTGGTGAGTGGACTGACACCATAGACCACCATCAACTCATTACACTTTGAGGACCTGGTTGACCAAATAGGTAGCTGCCTGGATTTCAACCCACAGATCCCAGCGGTGCCACGTCGGTGCTTAATGACTGCGATGTGTGTGACAGGAAACCTGCATTCTGGAGAAAATGCATCGTAGAGTAAGGTTAAATTAATTTCCATATCGTGCTCCACATTGCAGTGGTGGAAGGAATTTTTTTGGTTCATTCAAAGTATTGTCACCATCCAAATGTTCGCTGCTTGTTTCAAGGGTTCTCAGTTCAAATCCGGCAGGCCACCCCGGTTAATACTGCAGGTGTATTTACCGTAAACACACGCCACATGTTTCACAGGAGACCATTACAGATCGAGTAACGTCATTTGAGATGTGTAGGCCGTTGCGTCAAATTAGAAAATATATATCGGCAAATTACTCAATTGGGGGTGCGCAGACTATTTCTGTGAAAAAAAGCACCTCTGCAATAGCCTGGTGCTTGTAATGTACTCAACTGACATCCACTTGCAGGCCGGTGCCGAGTCACCTTGTGCTGCACAGGGACAGCTGCCCCTGGGGGTGCCCTTTGTTCGAGTTTACACAATGCAAGGTGCTTTGGGTTGCCGAGAGATTTAAGCACAATATAGACGTGCTGATGAGTATTGTTCTCGTTATTCATCCTAAAGGTTCTAAGAGTGGCGAAGCTGCTGATCCCAGAGAGAGCTGTGTGAGTTTCACTGGAAACTTAACAAAAAAATACGTGATCACCATCGTCAATGAATCTTGTAATTTACTTCCCATCGAGTGTGAAGTTAAATCCGACAAAAAGCGGGCAAATCCCACTCTTGGGGTCAAATGTTACACCCAGACGATGCACACGTGAACTGTATAAACACGTGTGCATACTTTTTCGTATATCCATATTTTACACGTATCATATTTACATACATGCATATAAACATTACACATTCGTACGCTGAAGTGACAATCTAGGCAAGTGAGCACCTCCGATTATCACGGTTGGCTACGTACGGTGCGAAAGAAGTTCTACATATGTACAGCAATACAATACCTAAGGATAAAATAAATATGTAAATTATACGTAAAGACAGGATGCGCTTTTATTACCACTAAGCATGAAAAAAAATCCAAATTATACTGTTTATGCTCTAAATTGGCAGTTATTGCCGTTCGGTGTCACGTTTGCGGTTATTGCACACATTAAGAGAATCGGCAGCGAAATAACCCAATTAATATGCTTTTTGGATTAAGGGTCTTATCCAGTTAGCAGCTTTAGGATTCAGAAACGTTGGCACACATTGCGGGAGCGCCGCCAACTGCCTCTAACAGACTCAGAACGTGGGCTCCGGGCAACGGAATTCATTTCGTTTACTCTCCGAGCAAGATCAAGCCGCTTTAAATCAATGAATGCTCATGAAGCGCATCATATACATTAGGGATATTTCCAGGCGTGGGGTTAATTAGTTCTGGATTTAAGCAGCGCATAAGCTGCAAATGCCAACTGATGCATAATTAGGGCCTGCAGGTTTCTAAGACGAGGCTGTATGATGATCCAGGCTTCCTTGCACCAACGGTAATAATGTTTTAGCAATGAAGTCCCCCGAGTCCGACTCGATAAAGACAGATGCTATTTGCGCGTGCCTTGTTGGTGTTGTTGCTGGCTGGAGGGATACGGGGACAGCAAAGGGCAATTCGTGTTCATAGCCAAAAGTTCAAGGGCTGCTTAATCAGAATCTTTATTTATAACTGGAGGGGGAATCCGACCGAGCTACAAAGCTCTATTTCACAGGATGTCCAGTCAGGGAAAGGGGGGTCAGAAAGTTACGACAACGCACAATGCAACAAAAACCACGGCAGGGGTGGAAAATCTAGCAAAGGTCATGAAAATCACTCAAAATCAAGATAATGAAACTAAGCTCTTGTTTAATTTATCAGCTAAAGACCACCGAGCCATTCAGTCAGGTGGCTCGGCAGTAGACAAAGCGAGCCGCTCGCAATCGGAAGGGTGCCAAAAGTTGAAATCCTGGGTGGGGGGTGGACAGAGCCCATCAGATCTCCAAAAGGGTCGATAAAGCGAGCATCACCTCATGGGGGAAGTCAACAGCTTCCATTCACGGCACGTGCCCGTGGTGCATCAGCGGTAGAGCGACTCGCTATTGGAAGTTTGCGAGTTCAAAATCCTGGTTTTGGCGGTTGACAACCGACCCCGCCATAGGAATGTGGAATTTCCACGACTGGCTCAGGGGCTGTAAACAAGAGATGAGGCACCACCTCAATGCTAACATGTATCGTTTTTAATGGGTGGCAGGTGGCCTCTACGAGAACATGTGTTTGTTGCGCTATATATATATGTAGGATTAATTTATTTACATGCCAAAGGGCAATCGGCATGCGAGGGAAGCACGCGAGTGCTCGTTACGTATTTTTTTCTCTCCCTCTCACCGACACATAACAAACAAAGCACAGCGCTTTCATTTAACCTAGGGAGGGCCTCGTTGAGATTGATTCTCGATCGCAAAAGACCTAATTTGCATAAACACGGATATGGAGGGGCAGGCAATAATAGGAATAATTTTTTTGTTATATATATATATGAAAAACATTTAGTTGTAGGTAATTTAAAACGTGCAAGTTGTAATGAGGACAGACTATCAAAATGAGCCGAGCACATTCCTTTAGGGAAATGCGACTGATAATGGCCATCCAACCAGCTACAGTACAGCCACTCGAGCGAAAGGTTTAGTAGACCAAGAGCCGATTGCTGATAACGTTGCCCGCAAAACACGAGGGGCTCGCATTAACATTCAGGCCGGAGCAGCGCACGGCAGTGGGAAAGGCAGCAGCTTTCTTGAGTGGTGCCCATCGACACGTGAATGTGCGTGCGTGCGTTGCGCCTCTTTCGCACCGTACATTCTAATCGGAGTTAGGGGGCGGGAGGACGACGAAACTAAACACAAAAAGAAATTCTAAAGAAATTAGTTTTTCGATCCAGATTTAAAAGTGTCGGCAGGAAGAGCGTTGCAGAAGGGCATCTGAAAGCGTGCGATGCAGTGAGACCGTCTTTGTTCGTTGTGACGAATGTCTTTGTAGCAGCGGTTGTGGCGTTGTATTACCAACGGGCGAGCCCGTTTTTGCCAAAGTGCCGCGCAACGCACGCGACGTTATATAACACGGCTCTAATCAGATTGATACATCCTCGCATGCGATAGGTTTAACAGCATAACCGAAAGGACTCCGTTGAATATGGAACACTGAGCGAAAGCACAATTACCAAACTGCAAAGAAAGCACTCTAATCGCGTACCCACTTTGAGCTTACATCACCGTGCGACTGACGCCGCGGAATAAAGAGGCAAGCGAGCGCAGAATCGAGCACTTTTGCAAACCTGAAAGCTACCATGAAAAGTAGCGTGCCTCGTGAAGAGCGTTTTCAATCAGTGCGTGTTACTCGATAAAGGCACGCGAATCAGAAACACGGGTGCTGACAAGAACAAGTGGAACAAAATCTGGCGAATTTCCCGATGATGCTGGATGCAATTACCAGCGAAACGTCGTACTCAAAAAAAAAAACTGTAAATGTTGTGGATTCACTCTTCAACACACCGGTGGGCTAAAGTAGTGAACTATTTGTCTTTTGTCAACGTGACACTTTTTCGCTGATTGGCCGTGTCGGGTGGTGGAGGGTTACGACACATTTATAAATAACGCGATCTAAACCCAAACACGTTTATTATGAATAATATTGGTCGCGAAAGCCTACGTGTTAAACTGAATGACACAGAGACAGAAATAGGAACGCGTGGATCAGGGAACAATTAAAAAAACAGAGACATCATTTGGACTCTTAAGAAAAGTGGCATTTGACTGCTGATGGAATGCAAAAGGAGAAGATTATCTGAAAGGATGATCACTGCGGAGGTGGAGGACTGAGATAAAGTCACGTGCAGAAGTGAGATGTACTGTGGCATCGCAGCACCACGAGGGATGATGGCAGCATGGGGAGGCTTTCATCCAGCAGCGGATAGACAATGGCTGATGATGGGGGGTGATGTGGGATGCCACATAATATATCCATTCTTTTTCTTCCCGCGAATGTTTTCCTCGCTCGTAAATAAACAAGCGACTTTAGTGAAATCCTGATCCTTTCATCGCATTTCACATGCTCCCATTGAAATTCCTAATGGGAATGAACTTCAAAAAATGTTCAGCAGGACTGCGTAAAGAAGGCTACAGATGAACATAAAACAATTGTGAAATTATCCGTAAGAGGAGCAACAGCTGGAAAATATAGCAGCGCATTGTGTACCTGGGACACACCCCCCCCTTTTGAAGGTGGACCTGATATCTGTGAAAAAGAGCTTCATAGCTCATCAGATTCCTGCAGTCGAGATAAAGATTCTGATTCTTCTGATAACGATTCTGAACAGGATGAAATTAAGAGGACACTGCACCATGCGGTTGTGACTACAGCACAGCCGGGCGTGCGATTGTTTTGCAAAGCGGCCATTGTAATAAACACACGAGCGGCAGTGAATGGAGCAATACACACAGATTTCACTTCGGCGAAACATGTCAATGTGTTGCGGCCCAATGTACGACTCCGAGGCAGGTTGCGGTTAGGGGCTCACGCCACATTTATTAAGGGCTTACGCCAACTTCTTGGTTCTTTCGGTCAAGTCAAGTAGAAGGGAAATAATAAAATAATAAAAATAAACATAATAAAATAATTCTCACGATGTTTCGGCCACAACGCAAGCAGCCGTCCTCAGGTGAAGAACAGGTCTGTCGGAAAGACAGCATCTTGACGACCTGTTCTTCACCTGTGGACGGCTGCTTGCTTTGTGGCCGAAACGTCGTGAGAATATTTTATTGTGTTTAATTTTTATTATTTTATTATTTCCCTTCTACGTGACTTTACCGAAAGAACCAAGAAGATGAATCCCTGCAGTCACGAAAGCTTTAAATCGAAAAGCTTACACCAAGTTTGTTAGGGGCTCACGCCACATTTATTAAGGGCTTACGCCAAGTTTGTTAAGGGCTCACGCCGAATCAAAACCCCCCTAGCCTATAACTCCCCAGGGGACCCGGGTACTGTGATCCCTACAACCCGTAGCTAACTCGGCTCTACTCCCCGCCCCGGCTCGGTACTACCCCAACCTCGGCCGGCCGGGCGGAGTAGCCTCCCCTAGCCTCGTGTGAGGCTCAACTACCCCGAGTCCCCACTCCTACACCCCCGACGAACCCCGGTTACATCCCGGGCCCCGCTTTAAATACTCCCCTAGGGGCATGACGTCACCGTCCCCCAAGATCCGCCTGACGTCACGTTCTGCGACGCCCACTCTCTCCGAGGGCGGGCATGACGCGACGTCACCCACTACTCCTCTACACACGTAGGCAAGGCTCACCTTGTAGAGTTGCTTGTTCACGAGCACGGGCAGTGTGCTTGCCGTGATGTCCACCTTTGGTGCCGCTGGAGGAGGACAACGAGAGAGGCATCGCGCTCAATGTGTGAATAATCACGGCCATGAGTCGCGCAACCAAGTCCTCATGAGAGGAAAGCCTCCCACAAAATGCTTACGCAGAAGACGTTATTAAAAATGTTTTTGTTTAAAACGAAACGATAGACAATTTTTTATTTTACCAGGTGTGGCCTGCTTGAGCTATGTAGCTCTTTTGCAGAAGCGATTTTGCCACAAATGAAAGCTCAGCCAAGTGGCTTATCGTGCAGAAATTTTAGCAGCCAAATACTCGAAACGCCGCATGTTTTTGAATGTAGAGGGAAAAGCCTCGTGATGTATCACAGTCCAGAGACGTGCCTGCCATTATTTTTAATTGTTATTTGCTATTATCAAAGGAATGGAACGTGTCTGAGAGGACGTTAAACCGAGGAGACCGAGTGATGAAATCAGTTCCTGTGCAGGTGCAAGCAGAATTATTGCATCACAGAATCGTGAAAAATTATGGCGGATTGGGGAGGCCTTCATCTGGCAGTGGTTTGAACATGGTTGGTAATGCAATGGTTAGAGCCATTAGTGGTTAGAGCACTGCACTGCGAACCGAGCGACAAGAACTTAATTCCTAGCAAAAGCTGTCAGTGGAGAGTGATATTTGAATGGGGCCTACTCCCCTTCACCAAACAATGACGATGAGAATGGTGAAGTATGGTAAAACAACCTTAGTGAACCGACATAGAATGGGAAGGTCTTCATCTAGTAGTGGCTAGACAAATACAATTGTAAAAAAATGTTTATGACATTATTCAAGTCAACATGTGCATCACACAGTCAGCTTAGCTGTGTGCTTATGAATGCCACTGGGTATAAATGTGGTTAGTACATTAGTCTCAAATTTGAAGGTCGTAGAGTTTAAATCCACTCCTTTGGAATATGTCCACTTCCTGGGGAGACTATTGTATTAGCAATGTAAGGAATTACTGCAATGAAGGCCTTTATACGATAAAGGTGACAGATTTAAACGTGACAGCCCTGTGCGATTTCCTCCAGGTGTGACGTAGCAGTTACTCCATCCCCCGTTTGACTACGGCTACGAGTCCCTTGCGTTTTTACCAAGGGCAAATATATTCTACTACATCGTTAGCCCTAAATATCTGATGCACTGACCCCAGCGATGGGCACTAAGAATTTCCTCCACTGGTTGAAGACCACCAGCACGGACGAGTGCGAGGTGATTTGTCATTTTCTCTGCGCAAGGAGGCACTTTGACTTTGGTTACACATATCTGCTTCCTTGTCTAAATATATGCTGCACTACTGGTTGTGTTTAAGATTCCATTTTTTTCCCGTCCCCTTCGAATATTGGATTGTTGAATGTTTAGGCCCAAATTTTTTTGTATTTGTTTTTTAAGATTGGCATTTACTACATTTTCCTAGATGCACACAATTTAACGATTTGATGAATGTTAAACATTTATAATAGAATTAACAGTTTCCACCGGTAAAACTATTACTTTAATGTAACCGTTTTAACATTTCGTTCATTAACATGACCTGCGGGGTGAGGTGGTCGGGGGGAGAGCGGAAGTGACATCGTGGAAGTGACATCATTCCTGTGACGTCACATTTTCGTATACATCACAATGGGTTGCAAAATTGTTAAATGTGTTGCAAAATGCGTGACATAATTCACGGTATGAATGAGTGATGTAAATTATAATGGTGCTCTTCGTGAGACAGTAAAAGACAAAGACAACAAGCCCCTCTCTGGATGATTTGAAATTTCACATCTAGGCCTGACTTTCAGATTTTTCTGACGAATAAAAAAATCTGGAACACATCTCTAACATACATGCTTTATTCTAATACGTCTTTCATCGTATACCCGATTACATTCGTCGATTACATTGGTTATATATATATATATACACACACAAAATAATATATCCCCCGTGTATAGCTTTAACAAACTTTTTTGCCAAATGCTATTAGCGACCACCTATGAAGGTTGGTACAGCACACAAAGGGGTGGATGGCCAACACCACGCGCGGCCTCCGTTGTCTCCCCAGTGGCGATGTTTATTCACTGCACCCAGATACTCATTTGAGGCTGAGTCGACCTAGGGGAGCCCCAGGACCGGTTCAGATAATCACCATCACTGTTGTTGGCCGAACTCGGGCAGCTGGGTTCATAGCGCAGCTCGCTAACCGCTACACTACTGCTCCAGTAAACCTAGTCTGTATACGCTGTTAAGATTTCTACACGCGTGTACGTTATTCAAAGGCTTGCGTAAGCAGCCCGGGCCACAGGTGGCGAGAGGGGACGTGTGGGGACATGCGAAGGCGCTCACTTACAAAACACCTTGACGCTGGCTGTCGCCTCTCCCACGCCCGCCGGCCCCGCCGACACCTGGCAGATGAAGTCACGCTCGTCTGCGGCCATCGTCGTGTTGAGCATCAGGGTGAAATCGTTGGCTTTGTTGACGCGGTCCGTGTAGTCGGTGCCTTCGTCGATCAGGAACTCCTTCGCGTCCTTGTAGATGATCCTCAGCCGCGTCAATTTCGAAATCTGCACGACGTCAACCAGAAAGCGACGTTTCATCAAGATCGTCGTCATCGGCCGTGGTCAGGGGTCGGGAACCTGCGGCTGCGTAGCCGCGTGCGGCTCTTTCAGCGACCGCTTCGTGACGTCATTTAGGAAAGACCCCCAACCGTGTCTCGTATTCATGCACGTTGCGGCCCTTGAAATATTAAGTTGTTTCGATTTAAAGCTTTCATGACTGCAGGGATTCATCTTCTTGGTTCTTTCGGTAAAGTCACTTGCGTTGTGGCCGAAACGTCGTGAGAATTATTTTATATGTTTTATTTTTATTATTTAATTATTTCCCTTCTACGTGACTTTACCGAAAGAACCAACAAGATATTAAGTTGTTGTTTTCACCGAATTCAAAATAAATGGTTCCTCTTGTTCTTTTGGTTGCCAATCCCTGGACATGTTCAATCACAGAGCCGTGTTTTTATTATAATGCAGCTGCGGTAGCATCGTGGTTAGAGTGCTCGGCTCACAATTGGAGGATGTACACTTGAAATGTAAATGAACCACGCAGTATTTCTGGAGCTGCATGAACGTCTTCCCAAGTCACGCTGGTCATGGGGGCGAGGAAGGGGTGGTGTTTGACTATACTTCACAACAACATGCCACTGTGTACTACGGCAAGTAATTGAACCAGGCTTGCCAGGATCGTGGCAGCTCGCGTTCACTAAACGTTTCTCCGTGGCTGCCCACAGGGCGGTATGCCCCGTGCCACATGCGTCCAACCCCCGATTTGCCAGCGAGGCCCTGCTGCTCTGCCGTTTGTGAAGCCAGCTGCCCCTAGGCCTCAACCTCCTGTGCACTTGGCGCTCATTCAAACACACACACACGCATGCACGCACACACGCAAGCACGCACACGCACGTGCTTGAGGCTGTTTTTGGGCATGCCGCGGGCATTTGCGGGGGATATAAATCTAAAAGAGTGCTACGGCATAAACAGGCCGTGTAATAAATACGTTGAGGCGAACAGCGCGTGCTGCCGCAGGTGGGCACGCGTCGTTGGGAGCGAGGCAGCGTGGAGGACAGGGCCAGGGAAGACCAAGCGGCCACTCGCTCCACACAAGTGGAACGCGAGGAGCAGCCCAGATTGTGACCATGGCCGCCACCCCAAGTCAGACGATCGCCCTGGAACTCCCGCTCTGAGAACTGAGAGAGAGCTCCGTTCCCGGTGGCATTGCGACCATTCGCTCTGCCTCGCCTGAAGCTGTCGAATGAATCAGGTATCTCGACGTCAAACTACAACGGCTTCCCCAGCCATACGAAGAAGAAGAATAAGTAGTGGTAGGAGGAGGAGCGTCGTATTTGAAATCAGACAATTACTTCAAAGAAGATCAAAACACCATCCCGTCCCCTCAAAGGACAACATTCCTGATAACGTCAATGCTTCTTATATATTGACCTGGTTATTAAAAGTTGAGACTGACAAAAATGAAGCCTTTATATAACAATAGGTGAGTGGCAGGTGGCATATTGTATTTTTTTCCTTACCAGCAAGATATCAAGATATTCTAGGTGGCATAATGCAGCAGCAGCATTTAATTATTAATTTGACCATGACCACAGCGCTGTTGTGATTTACCAAGGGCAAATATATTGCATACTGCTAGGCCCGTGGCAGGCATGCAAGCTCGCTTTGGTTCAGAGCCAAATTCACAATCCGCTTGGGCCACAAACACAACGCATGACTTCCAAAAATATGTGTCCCCCCCACAGCGGGTGTATCGTGTGGCACACCGGCCGCACAAAGTGCACGAGTTGTTTCTCCAAAACGTCGTGCAAAAAGGAAATGTGTACGTGACTCACTGACGGGGGGGGGGGGGGGGGGGTAAGGGAAGGCACAATCACAATGGGTGCAAAATTGTCAAATGTGTTGCAAGAATGCATCACATCATTCACGGTATGAATGAATGATGTAAATTATAATGGTGCTTTTCGTGATCTCGTCGATGTAATTGAGACAGTAACACGCAAAGACAACTTAGTCCCTGTTTAGCCTTGTACAAGCTGTTGGGGCAAGTGCTGTTGGGCAGCACCTACTAAGGTCAACACGGTGCACAAGGGAGCGGTGTGCTCAGCACCGCGCTCACCTGCCTTGGTCTCTCCCAGTGCCGATGTTATGACACCGCACCAGGTACTCGTTTGCGGCCGAGTTGACCTCAGGAAGGCCCAGGACAGGTTCCGATATTCAACACTGATGTTAGCCGTGAGTGCTGAGTCCGTTATCACTACACGACCGCTCCCCGCAAATACATCTGCATACACATATACAATGTTCCCCTGTATAGCCTCAACAGACTGTTGGGGAAAGTGCAGAAAGGCCAGCATGACACCCGAAGGGGTGGGTGGCCAGTATCACGCCTGGCTGCCTCTGTCTCCCAGTGGTGAGGCTGAGTCACACTTACATGGATGGATGGATACACAGAAATGCATAGCAGCATGCACATGTGCTATCCCAATGCACACAATGATTTCTCCCGAACAGAGACGATAAACAGTTACGTATGTATGTACGTATGTTGAACTTATTTTGCACCGTACGTAGCCAACCGTGATAATCAGAGATGCTTGGGGAAGGAAAATCAGAAGTGCGGGGTACTCACGATGAACCATTGCACGTTCACAGCATCGCTGATGGATGATTTGTATGTGCAGGGGATCTCCAGAGGCTTTCCCAGTTCCACCTCGACAATCGGGCTCACGTTGACGGTGATTGCTGCCAGAGTGCCTGGAACAACGGAAGGGGGGAGGATGAGGCTGTTAATTAACGCATCGCGAACGTGAACGCAAAGCCACTGGCGCATTGGAAAGGGCGGCAAAGAAAGATACCGGAGAATCGGACACTGTGCATAACAATATCAGGACCATATTATTAAACTCACATCGTACGGCGGCGATCGTGTGGGCGTCAACGGCGCATGGTGTTTTGACGACGCGAATTCATACATGGGGCACAACAATCTCACTGCGTGCACAATTGTGCACACTGGCCGAGATGAAAATGCTGCAATTTCAAATAATGTCACAGAAGGAAATCTAATTAAACCCAATTATTGTAAAATTTCACTTCAGTGGACTGCACACACCTGTCCCCACACGAATGAAGATGCCGTGGGGCAGGCGTAATGTCAGGCAGGGGGACACCAAACAAACTCAAAACGTGATTTCATGCCAAAATAAACACAGAGGCGGTGCTCATCCACTATTCACAGATCCGAGCCAGTGGTGGAAATTCCACCTCCCTATGGCGGGGGTGGCAGATCCATTTATAGGAGGGCTGAGTTAACGTCCAATTGGAATTTTTGAACTCGCAACATCTGCGATCGGGGGGCCCTTCACTCTACTGCTGAGTCACCTAGCCAGATACACAGCACACACACACACACACACCGCAATGCAGTGAATCACACAGCGCGTTGGTGCCCCGCCAGCTTGCATTCACAACGTCCAAACTGCCTGCAATTTCACGCATAATTGATAGTAAATGTTCGCGCGATGGATAAGATGCGTGCTGCTCAGACCGGCATGTGGTGATGACCAATACCACCCCCCCCCCTCTCTGCCTTCATTGCTCGCGCGTTTGGCTACTAAAGCGAAGTTTTACAATACAGCACGCTTCGGGGAAATGAAGGCAAGAAAGAGAGAAAGATTGTGCAATATCTCACAATGACGAGGGTATGACCTTATACCGTAGAAGCATAAAATATATAAAAAATATATATAAAAGATATACTATTTCTGCAGCTGAATGACGTTGAGAAGAGACAAAGAGAGTAGAAATGCTTAGAAGGGCATTGAAGATGCGGCCAGGACAGGGCAGAAGAAACAGAGGGAGACTGCGGAAGAGATGATGGCAGGACGCGGTGGAACGAAATATGAGGACAGTTGATGTCACTCGAGAAGAGACGCAAAATAGAGATACTGTACATAGGAGAAATTAAATCTGAGCACCCGAGCCAATGCAATAATGGTAATTGGTGGCTTAGAAGAAGACATGGCTGAATGGTCTGTGGAAATATAAAAAAAAAGCACATAATTGCATTTCCCTACAACAATTCACACGTTGCTATGCATGTGTTGAAATATTTACAAAATACACATGAGTGACGTTCTTAGACATTGGTCTTTAATACGTTAAACCTATCTAAATATGTCTAATATGTCTCACTAATCAACCGAGGTATTTCATTTATTTCAGAGAATATATGCAGTAAATACCAAGCACGGCTGCCACTCTCAGTGAACCAGAGCCCTCCGATGCCTCGGCCAAGAGCTTGCGGTTTACACTTAAAAAAAAAGTAATTGCCGTGAATTCAATAACATGTTTTACTTTAATTAGTTATCCACAAATACACTGCTGTTTGTTTTTACTGCAATTAACCTGACAGAGATTCTGAGCCTTCTACATCCAATAGCCAGACATCCACCACCACTTGATGCCGATGGGAAGAGAGTCGGATTAACCTGCACAGTCACAATTTTGTGTTTACACATTTTACAATTCTACACATTGCGGTCGTTAATTGTGCTTACAATATTGGGCCAACTTTCCATGTATAATTGGTACGTGTGAGATGTATTTATATGTAGCAATAGAAGCATTTATTAAAAGAGCACACAAGTGATGCCATCACATCTACGCCTCTATTTAAGGAACGAAACAGGTGGACTTCTCTACAAATCTGGCTGTCGCCTGATGAAGCTGGTTGTAATTACTGGCGAAACGTCGTACAGATTGTAAGTGTTGTCGCTTGGCTCTCCAACACACCGGTGTTGCTGTACTAGTGACGAATTGGCACGTTCCGTTTACGTGACAAACCTTAATAATTGGCTGTGTCGGGTGGTGGCGGGTTTAACGACACATTTATATTTACGCGATCTAACCTAAAAAACCTGTATTGTGGGAAGAAACGTATTTATTTATTTGCTTGCTCATACCGCACATGCACCATAAGTGGAAAGTCTCTCCCCCCATAATTACTCTGACTTCGAGAGCTTTTGCTCAAACTCACTCCTTCCCTCTCTCTGCTTCCACTTCACATAGAACTGACCACACAACGCTGCATTGCATACTAGCCGAGACGTAAGAAAACAACATGTAAATGTATTCTATATCAAAGCTGTCACTTGACACCAATGAAATAAGTTCTGGATTGAACATAGACCCGCAGTTAACATATTTATTTCCTTATCTAAAACTCCGCTTCCAATCTCCTCCCTCTAGCAAGGCAATGCTGTCCCACACACTCAGCTCTCTAATCCATTTCTCTGTGTTAACACCGATGCCCTCACATGCCCAACGATTTATAGATCTCCGCTTCCCATACCTACGTGCTCATGCATTACATTTGCACGACTATCATTTTTACTCCAGGGGCCATGGAAGCTACAGCCAGTCCACACGTTTACCTTGACCCGGTTCCATACTTTAGTTAGATTATAACAAAAAGCTAGATGGTTATATGAATATCAAATGGCACATCATCATCATCATTGGCTACGGTCAATCCATTCCAGGATGAAGGCCTCCCAATGCTCCATCTCCTCCGTGGACATCCTCTCCGACGTGTGCCATCCCTTCGCTGCCATGCCGCTATCGCTCTTGACCCTCGACCCGTCTAGCGACATGCCCTGCCCATGCCCGATTACTTTTTTTCAGTAAGCAGTTTGGATGATGGCATTCACCTGCATGCGTTTCTCTCGGTCATGTGTTCTAAAAAAGAGAATAGATTTTACCCTTTCGGGCAATGAAACAGGTGTTAAGATGTTCAAACACCAAATAAATGCCTCTTCAAAGGCATCGAGTCTGCATTAACCACACGTGCTTGTGGCAAAACATGCAAACAAACGTGCTCTGATAACAACATGTGCATTGTCTTTGAAGCTGATCGGCCTACAACCAGAGACAGCCTTCTTTATAGCTTAGTCTCAAAAGTGTGAGACCAGAGAAAGCCAAAAGGCGAACAGCACAAAGACAAAATATCAGAACAATTATATCTACGGGAACTTTTTGCCAGTGACTAGCGACCTTTATACTGGCAAAAGGGTCCCCTAGATACTTGCGTTCTCTCTCTCAGCTTCATTTCGAGCATTGCATCATTCGCTTGGTTTCGTCGCGCACTTAAAAAAATCGTCGTTCCGTGTTCCGTGTTGACGACCTCGTTTCTGAATGCCACCCCCAACCAAATGATGCCAACAACGACACGTGGTCCGCAATGCTGCAACACACCACGCACCGGCGGCGTAAACTACGGAGAAGTTTGCAGGGCTCGAGAATCACGGGGCGCATTCATTCCGGTATGTGTGTAATTTATTACCGACGTGTGTTTATGACCACAGTGGAAACACACTTTAAAAAAAATAAACACATAAAAAATCTATGCCCCAACTCGTTTTCAGCATTTGAGTACCCAAAGGTGTTCGCTAATTCTGGCTTGGCAGGATGAGTGGCATTTTTTGACTGCTTCACATGGGGAGGGGCACATTTATTGAAATAAATAAACATATCCCCCCCCTGGATAATCCCTTGAGATGGGACGTCTGATTTGCACGGTTAGTCCAGGGGTGTCAAGTGACACGTGTGTAACAAACACGTCATGACACGCGGAGAGACATGTCAATTTTCAAAACGTATACAGGTCCCAAAGATTTCACTGCTCGACCCCAACTAGAAATGCTCTGAGACTTGCACTGTCTCCGTGTTGTTTGCCTTTTGGATTACACTGGTCAACAAAAAAAAAACATTTTTTTCTGGCCTGGACTTTTGCAGCTGTTTTAGACTAATTTCAGGGTGCTGATTCCAAATCTGATCTCAGATTTGCTCTATCACATCTCATTTTATGCTATCGGCATACCCCATTTTCATTGATTTTACCCGAAATTAACTCTGTCACTTATGATTGCAAGTTGTTGCGAGTCAGTGACTGCTTTAGTGTTAAAATATGGTGCTGTATTTTTGGGATAGTGTGTTCATAATATCATTTTATGTAGATATCCACATTTATTTAATATTTTTCTTCTGCAGTTTTTATTGAAAATGCAATCTTTGATATCTCAAAAACCTGATGTGATAGACAAAAACTGATGCCAGATTTGGAATCAGCACTCCAAAATTACCTTAAAAACCGTTGTAATACCTTATGCCAGAAAAAGTGTGTTGACCAGTGTTATCTGGTCTAAAACCGATGGAGACTAGGCCATAAAGAAGGCTGTCTCTGGTGTAGGCCAACCAGTTTCAAGGACAATGCATACAGTCAGTTTAACACGTAGGCTTGCGTGACCAATATTATCCACAATAGTAATTACAAATTGTCGGGGGCTTTATTCTCCAACACACCGGTGTGCTGAACTAGTAACGAATTGGCACGTTCTGTTTACGTGACAAACCTTACTGATTTGGCTGTGTCGGGTGGTGGCGGGTTTAACGACACGTTTACATTTACGCGATGTAACTAAAAAAAACCTCGATTATGGATGAATATATTATCAGACTATGTTTGTTTGCATGTTTTCCCACAAGTATTTTGGGTTAATGCAATACTTGATGCCTTGAGAAAGGTATCATACCTTTTTATGCATCGAATGATAATTGATGATAATATATGCATCCAATGCATTTATGCATTTAACGTCCTACTTGGTGAAGCACACACACACACACGTATATATAAAAATTATGCGGTTCACGCAGAACGCTGAAACCATAACCGCGTGCATCTCGCAAACTTG